TTCAAGTTAGACTTTCCTCTAGAGGCGCGCATCGGAGTTGTAAATTTGGGTATCATATAATCTGATCCCTTATGAGGCTGCAGGCTGGCTTGCGCTGGGCCCTACCGGTACCGGTACATTATGCCACAATTCTTGCCTTGCGCTGCCGTATCTTGCTATCGGCATAATATCATAAGGCACTACCTGCTACTAGGTGCCAGCACCAGTATACTTACACCGGTAATACCAACTCCAGGTTATTGGTGTCTACAGGCCTCGTTCGTTCTTTTCTATTCACCATACAAGGTCTTACTAACCCTTTATCCTGCCCTTCTTTTTTGACAGAGTGTAGCGTGCCGTACCCATCCCCTACCCCGTCCCTCGGGATTTTCTCTAGTTCCGCCTCCGAACCCCAGAAGGTACTGTATGATACGAGTACAGTACGGTACAAGCATAAACGGTGGCTTTTGTCCCCCGAGGGGGTGTGGATGGGAGTGACTGGGATTGGCGGGTGCACCGAGTGAAACACATACTAATGTTGAAATGCAGGTCTGCTCGGCCACTACCCAGCCACATGGGGATGACAGTACAGTACCGGTACCAGTACCAGTACCAGTACCGTACAGTAGTTAACCGGATGGGACATGATGGCGGATTAACTTATACTGTACGGGAAGTTAGGTGGCCCGAGTGCCGTCCACCCCCGTCCTGGGTTGACTGGACGGCTGGAAGCACTGCTTGCACGTGTCTTCTCACCTGTGTGTATGTATTTCTCTTCCTTCTCCGCTTGCATGGATCATTGATCTACGGTAATTCCGTGATGGGACCCATCCGACCGTTTCCCCCCCTCCCCCTCCTCTGATCATTGTTTCCTGTTTCTTGTTAGCTGGGCGTTAAGCCTAGCACCTGACTGAGCACGGCACCGTACAGTACAGTACTGCACGCACACAGTTTAACTTACTTGCCTATGGGTGTGCCGTATATTATCGTTACCGCGAGATCAAAGTCCGCTGCAGCATTCTGCTCGCACCATATTACTATTGCATGATACCCATAGTGCGGGTGGCGTATACCGGTAGCGTGGTAACACATTAATTGATTTAAGTTCTGACAAGAGGTGAAAATGAAAATAAAAAACAAAATTTGCCGTGTACAGTACCCTGTCTGCTCCCGGGTTAGCGGATCCCTGCCTTGCGAGTACAGTCTGCAGTGCCATACAAGTTCTGTACTCTAGAACTCGAGATGCGGTACACAACGTGCCCTCACAAAACCAACCCATCCACCCACCCATAATTGCTAGGGATGGGAGAAGGGAGCCGGGGTGTAATGGTTGATTGTGGAGATTGCGAGAGTCCGATGGATCGTTTGGGAGTGCGATACATTGCTCTAGGGCCATGGTAATCTTATCAATGTTCTCCAGGCATGATTATCCATCTTCTTCTCCAAATAGTGCCATCCGAGTGTGGGGAGGAATGGGGACATGTGTGGAGGCACAGAGATATGTGCTGTGATCCATGGTGTGATTGGAATGCTTTCATTATGTTTTTATCAACATTCCTGCCCGTACCGTTACCGGTACGGTAGTTGGATGAGAGAGAGAGGCCGAACGAGCCAACAAAGTCCCATTATGAACATGGCTTCCATACCTTTTCCTATAGAACACCGACGCCAGAAGCTATTCCTCTCGCTCTGGGAGTACTACTGCGCCATTTATTAGTGGCCCTGGGACACACATCGGAAATGGCTGTTTCACCGGACTCCACAGCGGACCCTCCATTTTCGCATGGTATAGTGTATCATCCGTGCATATTGATCTAGTGTAGCCGGAGAATCTGGACCAGTGGCATATGGCATGGGCACAGTACCAAAGGGGTTCCATTGGGACACGGCATTTAATCTCTTCATCTCCCCGCACTAGTGGGTGGGCAGGCACGTACCGGTATAACAAACGATAGGTGACCCGGGGTTGGTAATGTAGCTCGTATAAAAACTTCTTGACCCCCCTCAGAGGTCCCCCCTCTGGCTGCCCGTCTGTCCGTCCATTTACTAGTCTGTTCGTGCGAACCTTAGTTCCTCCGAACCTGCGCTGCCCGTCCCGCCGCCCACCGAACCGCAGCTGGGGAAAAACATACGGTAGAGGACGAAACCAGCTATGGTTGCTTCCGAGAAAGGTTTTTTTCCCCCCTTCCCCGTTCACTCACTCGCCCGCTCACGAGTACTCACCCATTTCTCCCACCGTCAAGGCTCGATCCCGAGCGCCGGCACGCCCGAATATGTGGTGTCACCAGCACGGTATGTCAATGGAAGGCTGCAGCCGCCGCCGGGCATCGACGAGAAGGCGCTTTTGAGAAGGATTGATCTCAGATTGTTACCAGTCTTGTGCCTTTTGTCAATTTTGGCGTTTCTGGATCGGTGAGTTTTACCTCACTCCACATCACCCTACACCTTCCCCCTCCGCGGGGAGGGGGCAACACAGAAGGTGAGTGACGGACTGACGGGGTCAGCGTAAATATCGCGAATGCAGTGATATTCGGACTCAAGGAGGAATTGAACCTCAATGGATTGGAGTATAATACCTGCTTGACTATATTTTTTGCCCCCTATATTTGTCAGTTCCGCTGCCTATCCTCCTCATTTTCAGGGAGCTAACGTGAGGCAGTATTTGAAATCCCGTCGAATATATTACTGAGGAAATTGGGACCTCATGTTTGGCGTAAGTTTATCATTGGCACCCCTCTGGATTGCTTACTGTACTTGTACTTACTTTCTGGTTCTCGGTCTCTTTTTTTCCCCTCCTGCTTCGTGGCTTGTGTTCGGGGCACTTACTGACGAGTGTTTGCTTTTTTTCCGGGGGTTGAACTAAAGTTCCGATATGTATGTTCATGTTCGGACTCGTTACTTTTCTGCAAGGATTCGTAAAGAACTATGGTGGGATTCTGACGACAAGGTTTCTCTTGGGTGTTTTTGAATCCGGTAGGGTTTCTTTCTCCTTCCGCTTGCTTGATCAATCCGCTATTGGGGATATGTTTGTGCTGATTTGTTGAGGGAAGGGATGTTCCCGGGATCTTTCTACATGATTGCTATGTGGTACAAGCGTGAAGAAGCGCAGACGCGGTGCACTTTCTTCTTCTCGTCCACTTCTCTTGCTGGTGCTTTTGGTGGGTTGCTAGCGAGTGCGATTGGACTCTTGGACGGGAAAGCAGGGTATAGGGGGTGGAGGTGGATCTTTATACTTGGTAGGCATTTTATATTCACAACCTGACGCCCTGCGGGAATTGGACAATCCTGATCGAGATTTACAGAGGGTTTATTGACCTGCATCCTTTCATTCCTCTTCTACTTTGTCATTACCGATTTCCCGGAGGAAGCCACCTTCCTAACGGAGGCTGAGCGGAGATTCGTCAGGGACCGCCTGAGAGCGGATGTCGGCGACCCGGTTCGGGAGACCAAGATAACTCCAAAGGGCGTCCTCAGTGTCTTTAAAGATTACAAAATCTTCATTGGAGGATTTATGTACTTTGGTCTCGTCGCACCAGCCTATGGGTACGCATACTTTGCACCTACCATCATCCATCAATTTGGGTACACCGGTCAGTTCACCCCCCCCCGCTTCCCCGTAGAACGGAAAAGGCTAGAAGAATACTGACTCGGCGATAGCGATCCAAACCCAACTCCGCTCCGTTCCCCCCTGGGCCGCCGCCTTCGTGTTCGGAATGACCGTGGCGGCGATCTCCGACAGGGTAAGACACCGCTTCCTCTTCACGGTAATCCCAATCGGCATCTCTCTCTCTGGCTTCATGATTCTTTTGACGGTCCACGACAACGTCAGCATCCAGTACCCCGCTCTCTTCTTAGCGACAATGGGAATTTACAGTGCTATGCCGGTCATCGTCTGCTGGTTCAACACAAACCGTGCTTTCCCCGCCCCCCCTCTCCGCCCTATCAGTAAGCTAACAGGAAGCGAAAAACAGTGGGAGGGCATCATAGAAGAGCCGTCGGCACAGCCTGGCAAATCGGTTTCGGTAACATCGGGGGTGTCATAGCCACGTACTCGTTCCTTTCCAAGGACGCCCCAAGGTATACGAAGGGGTACGCGATCAGCATAGCGTTCATGTGCCTCTCAGCTCTGTTCTGCGCAGCGTATTTCCTGGCAGTGAGCTGGGAGAATAAGCAGAGGCAACAGGGTGTGGATAAGTATGCTGATGCGACCGAGGAGGAGAAGAAGTTGCTTGGGGATTTGAGTCCGGATTATAGATATTTCTTGTAGAGCTTTCTGTGTTTCCCCCTCCCTCTCTTCTTTCTTTTTGTTTACCATTGCAGTTTTTTCAAGAGGGGTGCGTGCGCCTGTGTGGGGGAGAAGGGAAGAGAAGAGAAGAGAAGAGAAGGAATGATTTGGTGATGCAGCTTCCTGTTTGTTCCTTATGCGGCGCAGGACGATAATTATTTACTCATAATACATGTATTTCTATCCGGGCCAGCACCTCATTGTATATACCAGCAGACATATGGATAATAAAAACGGGCCGGCATGGCTCACTATAAGTAAAATTAAAGTACTCTATCAAAGCGATTAAATATAACCTCTGCGCGCAGCTGCGCAGGGCAGACATCAACGCCTTCAAACAACCTATCATACAAGTTAATACCCAAACAATAAGAATCCACGATACCCATCTGGCCTAGAGTAAGCTCATCACCGCGTAAAAACTCTTCATTTTTCCCAAATTCTTTTTATCTCTTTCAATCCTCCTTCCTTCCCGTGCAATGCAAACATTCAGCCTATGCATGCCTCAACCCAGACCGTTTCCCGACGGGCCCCACGGACCAACCAATCAACCACAAACCACCACAAATGAACGAAACAACCCACCGAGTGAGAATACATGTCGTTGTAAAGTCCAACCAAGCCATGCCAAACCGAGCTCCCGGAAAAGAAGAGGGCAAAAAAAAAGCCTCGAACCCAAACACCCCCCCCATGAACCGGTCGCTGCAACCGCCAAGACGGGATAGAGCGTCATTTCAACACAACCTCTCCATATCATCCAGTGGTATCACAACGGACTAGACTGAAGTATCGGTACTGTACGGTATTGTACTCGAGTAGGTTGGGGGTGAAAAAAATGGTGGGAGGGAAGGAGGGAAGAAAAGAGGTGTTTAATTTACCCCTCACTACACCCAACTCTCGATTCCGGTTTTTCCTTTCCTCCCCTACCTACCTACCTACCTACCTACTTGATTATATTTTTCTTCTTTTTTGTCCCTTTGCTTTCTCTCCCTTCGTCCCGTTCCTCCTGGCGTCCCGAGGCTCACCTATTTAAGGTAATTCGATTCCACCACTTTTTTTTTCCTTCCTGCTCATCATCATCATCATCAAAGCGGTTCTCAAGTCAATCTAAGCTCTCGATACCGACACAATGAGCCTTTCCATTTCTTCAGTTTCGACAAAGCCCTTTGGTAAGTTTGCTCACTTGTATTACGGCTATTATTAGGGCTCCCCTCGCGTCATAGATCATAGCTAACTCGATCACTTGCTACCAGATGGCCAGAAGCCCGGAACGTACGTTATTGAGCTTTAAATACCCGAGACCCAGGCTAACAGGAGCTCAGCTCCGGACTCCGAAAGAAGGTAGCCGTTTTCGAGCAACCAAATTACACCGAGAACTTCGTTGCGGCACTTCTCCAAGCTATCCCCGAGGGAGCCGAAGGATCGTTCCTTGTCATCGGTGGTGATGGCCGTTACTACAACCCTGAGGCCGTCCAGAAGATTGCAAAGATTGGCGCTGCCTATGGTGTCAAGAAATTGCTCATCGGGCAAAAGGGTATCTTGAGCACCCCAGCTGCTAGTCATGTTATCCGGAAGAGAGAGGCCACCGGAGGAATTCTGTTGACTGCTAGCCATAACCCTGGTGGTAAGTTAAGCTTCGATTGTAGGTGAAAGATAGGGCTGGGGCAAGGGCTAATTGATGATAGGGCCTAAGGAGGACTTTGGAATCAAGTACAACTTGGCAAATGGCGCACCAGCTCCTGAGAAGGTTACTGATAGGATTTACGAAATCACCCAGACAATATCAGAATACAAGATTGCTGATATCCCTGATGTAAGCCCCCCAATGCATCCACAGAAGGTCCGGTAGCTAATTCAATTAGATTGACCTGGAAACTATTGGAACTAAGACTTATGGTCCTCTAGAGGTAGAAGTCATTGATTCTGTCGAGTGCTATGTCTCCTACATGAAGGACATCTTCGACTTCCCTCTAATCAAGTCTTTCTTTTCCTCAAACCCCAAATTCCGAGTGTTATTCGACGGTCTGCACGGTGTCACCGGCCCATATGGGATTGCCATCTTCCAGAAGGAACTCGGGCTCCCGCCCAACTCTACACAAAACTGTGTACCGCTCCCCGACTTCGGTGGTGGGCATCCAGACCCTAACCTCACCTATGCACACTCCTTGGTTGCCGCTGTAGACAAGGATGGTATCCAATTCGGAGCTGCCAGTGACGGTGACGGTGATAGGAACATGATTTACGGAGCTAACGCATTCGTATCGCCGGGTGACTCTTTGGCTATTATCGCCCATCATGCAGACAAGATCCCATACTTCAAGAAGCAGGGCGTCCTCGGATTAGCTAGGAGTATGCCCACCTCCGGTGCCGTCGACCTTGTTGCCAAGAAGAAGGGATTGGAGTGCTATGAAGTCCCCACTGGGTGGAAGTTCTTCTGCAACCTCTTCGATAGCAACCGGCTGAGCATCTGCGGCGAGGAGAGTTTTGGGACTGGATCGAACCACATCAGGGAGAAGGATGGTGTCTGGGCTGTTGTAGCCTGGTTGAACATTATTGCTGGCGTCGCTAAAGATCTACCAGCTGGCGAGGAACCTTCCATTGCTAATATCCAGAAGGACTTCTGGAGAGAATATGGCCGTGAGTTACTCTCGGACTATGTGGTAGCCGATACGTAAGCTGATTAGGGAAGGAACTTACTTCACCCGTTATGACTACGAGAATGTTGACTCGGCAGGAGCTCAAAAGCTTGTAGGCGCCTTCCAGGAAAAAGTTGATGACAAGTCATTCATCGGCAGCGAGATTTCCGGAAGGAAGGTTACAGATGGTGGTAACTTTAGTTACACCGATCCTATCGACGGGAGTATCTCCAAAAACCAAGGCCTGTACGCCAAATTCGACGATGGATCGAGAATTGTTGTCCGGCTATCCGGGACCGGGAGCTCGGGAGCTACCATTAGATTATACCTAGAGAGACATGAAGCGGTATGCTTGGAATCAATTTTGCGGTGGTTGGGCTGGGGCTAACATTAGTTTTCTAGGATGAGGGCAAACACCTACTGGATGCTCAAGACTATCTCAAGGAAAATATCAAGCTCGCTGTGGACTTCTTGAAGTTCAATGAGTTTGTCGGAAGAGAGAAGCCTGATGTTATGACTTAAAGAGGTATTGCGGGTACGGCATGGTTTATGCATACAATTCGTGCTAAAAAAAAAAAATCCACGTGTAATATTACCCCCGAGCATCATTAACACCTTAGCAATTGCCTTTGAATTGATATCAGAGCCTTGATTCAACCATGCTGCCCTTTATGATCCACCGTGATGTTTTCCGAAGCACCTCGGCGGCGCACAACGACCTGACGGGTATCGGGGGTGGAAGTTTTCCCCACTCTGCACGAGAGCCTGCTAACCGATGAACTCTCAAAGCGATCCCCCTTTAGCGAGTGATAGGACGTGATAGCTATTTGACTGCCCGGGACGCAACTCGTCTTACTTGCCTGAGTGTGAGAGATCTGGGGCCGTGCATAAATCTCGCACAGGTCTCGAGCCACGAGTAGGGCTTGGTGTCCGATGTCTTTGGCGGCCTTGAACCCCGACTGCCTTAATCCCTGGAATAGGGTTGTTCCGAACATAAAAACTCGGGTCATGCCATCCCATCTAGGTTTCAAATTGCCGAAACGTTGCATCCCACAGCTCGGCACTGAGATGTACTGTACTCGTACCGTACAGTAGACTGCCGTATGATATCGACGTTACAACCCAGAAAGGGTCAGACTTCAGAAGTCTCGGAAAGTGTAGAGGGAGGGAAAACCCGTACCCGTACAGTTTGACGGCGGGAAGCATTTTCCCGGAGGAACAATAATACCTGGGAAGCCTAATAAATGCCATGACGTCTTCCTGTTCCTCGGCAAGCATGATTTACAAAATCTTGGCACCTGGTGCCCGGCGAAAGGATGAGATTCCATTTCTTGGAGGGCGGCTGTAACAGGATAATTGTCGCCAATCCAGCAAAAAAGCAACCAGCCAACTCTAACCAGGCGTCTCGTGCCCAATGATACAAGTACACACCAAAGATTTCGTCGACCTTTCTCCGCCCTACCTTACTTACGTACGCAGCAGATCCAACTTCCTTCCCCTGTCCCAAAATACTCCTTCTTTTCCCTCCTTTCTCCCTCTCCCCCTATATCCATCTCTCCCTCTTTCCACAATTAATCCCACCTGTCCCAACCGAATACAAATAGCTTCACCAACAAAAAACCACTAATATGAGCTCGTCCAAGGAAGAAGCAGGTGCAGTTCCCGCTGCTGCTAAGAGCTCCTGGGGCCCATTCCTGAAGGTCAGACCCTGTTCCCACAATCCTCTTCAATTACTAACCTCTTTACAGTCGATTGCATCATTCAATGGGGACCTAGCGAGTTTGACTGCTCCAGTAAACACCCCATCATAAACGCACCCCCTTTTCCCGACAATGTTTGACTGATTTCTACCCATTTTAGCCGTTTATATTGAGCTCTACCAGTTTAACTGAGTATTCAGGTTATTGGGTGAGAGCCGCTTTTCCCCCATCAGGACGAACGCGTACACCGTTGCCCGCGGCTGCCCTGAGACACGCGACACTGCTGACCACGGTGATTCGCAGGCTGAGCATCCCGAGATCTTTGTTGCGCCAGCCCAAGAGAATGACCCGCAGAAGAGAGCTCTTTTAGTGCTCAAGTGGTTCTTGACCACTCTCAAGCAGCAGTATAGCTCGAGAAGCGAGAAACTGTTGGATATCGCCCCTACCTTCATTCTGGACACCCGCGACTAACCCGGCGTTACTAGCGGTTCGGAGAAGAAGCCACTTAACCCCTTTCTGGGGGAACTATTCCTCGGAAAATGGAAAGACCCAACTGGAGAGATTGGGGAAACTCAGCTGATCTCCGAACAAGTCAGGTGAGCCGACTCTAGTTTATCATAGAATGGAAGCTGACTTGGATCGATATTGAACAGCCACCACCCTCCTGTCACTGCTTATGCTATCTTGAATGAGAAACATGGCGTCAAGCTTGAAGGTTACAACGGCCAGAAGGCTTCTTTCTCAGGAGGTACCATTTCAGTAAAGCAGGTTGGACATGCCAAGTATCATTTGAGGGAATTTGACGAGGATTGTGAGGCGGCCCCAAAAGATTGATAATTTCAAGTCAGTGCTGATCATAAAAAGACCTGATTACCCTTCCCTCCCTGCATATTGAGGGGATTGTATACGGATCTCCGTATGTCGAGCTGAATAGGGGCAGCACAATCCACTCCTCTACCGGATATATCGCCCAAATTGATTATAGTGGAAAGGGGTGGATTACTGGAAAGAAAAACACGTTTTCTGCAACATTGAAGAAAGAGGGTAGCAAGGATATTCTTTATGCAATCAATGGGCAATGGTCTGATGGCTTCACCATTAAGGAAGGAAAATCAAAGAAGGAGGTGAGAGAATAGCTCACTGCCATTTAAATTTAGATTTCATCCCCCCCCCCTAGAAAAAAGGAGGAAAAAAATAATACTCACCATTTCTTGGAACAGCTGGAAACTTACAACGCAAAAACTACTGAAATCACACCTCTTTACGTCGCGCCAATTGAGGAACAAGATCCTCTCGAGTCTCGTCGTGCATGGGCTAAAGTTCAGGAGTCAATTACCACAGGGGACCTGGAGACCACCGGTACTGAAAAGTCTAAGATTGAGAATGAGCAGCGCGAGCTGAGGAAGAAGGAGAGGGAAGAAGGCAGAGAATGGGAAAGGAGGTACTTCACCAGGGTTATGGACGATCCCGTATTCACGAGGTTGGCCGAAAGCCCTGGGATTGCCGCGGAAGAAGGAAAGACAGATGGTATCTGGGTCTTCGACGAGAAGAAATTTTCCCAGGTAGCTGAGAAGGCAAGAGCTGGAGGAGAGGCAAGGGCTGAAGAGGCAGCCAATACTGTCGCTTAGACAAACATAAACTATAGACTTATGTGTAACACAGATGTTTTGGGAGCCCTTGTCCCTAATTGTCGGGGTATGGAATTCTTTTTTTTTGTTCATCCCTTAGCTGTACTGTACATGACTTGCTGAGGCGGAGGCAAAAATGCAGTGGGGGTCTTTAATTGTATCTCTATCTTCTGGGATTCTTTCTGCGTTTTAGCTCTCTATAAAACTTCTCTACTTTCTTTACCGTTCAGGTGGGCAATATACGGATACCTGGGGGAATTCCCGGGACGCTAAGATGACGGCATAATACAAGTATGAGTAGTTTTATAGTAGTACTACTTCTTCAGGCCTTCATAACGCAATTTCATCCCGTAAGCAGTGAGGGACGTACTCGAGTACAGTATATGAGGTTATCAAATTTGATTTTCGTGGGGTTTACTCGGCCCGCCAATTATCCAGGTTTCTGTCCCTCCCCCGCTCTCACCCCACCCACAGGCTACGGACCCGAATAAACATTAAAGCCCAACCATCCTCTCATAACCACAACATAAAACAACCATCTCTGCCATCAGCTGGTCAAACTTTGATCTCCCCATCCCGTTCTAATAGTTCAACAAGAATGGTATGTCCTTACTTGCCCTTCAATTGTTTCAAATTTGACGTCTCCACTTGCTTACGCTACCCGACCCTGATTACACCTGTAAAGGCTCGCAAATTCTTTGTAGGAGGAAACTTCAAGTCCAACGGGACAATCACTCAGATCAAGAGCATCATCGAGGGGCTCAATCAGGCTTCTCTAAATCCCAATGTTGGTTCGTTATTACAATTCTTCCCTTCCACAAGGAATCTCCTTTTCCCTAGGCAGATAAAACACTAACGGGAATGCCCAGAGGTCGTGATTTCCCCACCGGCAATATACCTCCTCCTCGCAAAAGAGATTGCCAGCAACGGTCTCCAGGTCGCTGCCCAGAACGTCTACGATAAAGGGAACGGTGCATACACCGGTGAAATTAGTGCAGAGCAGTTGAAGGATGCTGGCATCAACTGGGTCATAATCGGACACAGTGAGCGCAGAGCCCTTCTCGGTGAGAGCGATAAGGTTTGTTTTCCACCGTCTTCAACATGTGGGGGTTTGCTAATGTGGGGGGGGTTGTAGTTTGTCGCTTCAAAGACTAGGGCTGCGCTTGCTGGCGGTTTGAGTGTGATTTTGTGCATCGGGGAATCGCTCGCGGTTTGTTTTTCCTCCTCTTTTTTCCCGCAATCCCGCGCGGGCGGGATGGTGATGGTGGCTAGTATCGGACAAGATGTAATAGGACTGACAGAATAATTCTCGCAGGAGCGCGAGGCTGGAACCACCCTTGATGTTGTCACAAGACAACTTGAGGCTGTTGCTGACGAGGTCAGCGATTGGTCTAACATTGTCATTGCTTACGAGCCCGTTTGGGCTATTGGTACTGGGAAGGTGGCTACTACTGAGGTACAAGTTCTTCAGGTTTTCATATGATGGTCATAGAAACTGATAATCGGGAAACAGCAAGCCCAAGAGGTCCATGCCGCCATCCGTGAATGGTTAAAGAAGACCGTCTCTGATAAAGCAGCGGAGGGGACCAGGATCCTTTACGGGGGAAGTGTCACCGACAAGAACTCCAAGGAGCTTGCTACCCAACCTGACGTTGACGGTTTCTTGGTCGGCGGTGCAAGTTTGAAGCCTGCTTGTGAGTAACCGTATCCACTCTATCACCTTCACTCCCGGCGACAGGCCCTGGTACTAATTACTTGGACAGTCACGGACATCATCAACTCTGCTGCTTAGATATCAAAAAGTTAGATACACACAGGGGGATATTCCGCTGAGCTAATAAAACCCTGCAATGCGCGGTGGTAAATGCACTTGTCTCACGCGAGTCATTTTCAATAGCATTTCTCTAAAGCTGTTATCGTGTTCTCATGACTAAGAAAAAAATGGGTCTATAACAATAACCACGGATACCGGTAAAACAAATAATTTCTCAACGACGACCGCAAGACCAGAATACCGATTTGGAACGCCATCCAAGCGCCAGGATCATAACCTGCAAAATCCCCATTCCAATTCCCACGATCCCCATCCTCCATCCTCTTAACCCCACACTATTATACCTATCACCCACCACCCCCACTAGCAAATCTGCGCTTAAAGTCAGCAAACCCAAGCTCCAAGATCAAGAATGGCAACAAATAAAGTGATAGAAAAAGCTCACCCCATACCACCCCCACCGCATCTGCGCTTAAAGTCAGCAAACCCAAGCTCCATGAACAAGAATGGCGACAAATAGAGTGATAGAAAAAACTCACCCCGAACTGCTCCCACCAATTCCAGCAACCCCAAAAATCCCTCCGTGGTAACGACTCTTCTTCTTCTTCTTCCTCCTAGGCTCAATGCTGATGGTATAAGTTCCAGGCGTGAGGTCCTCCTGTGACCGACGAGGCCTCGCCCGAGGGCCGTAGGAGCGCTCTGTATCATTTCTGGAACCGAAGCACATTTCGCCGGTGTGAAAATATAATTGTGGGGCGTGTTATGTCGTGATGTGTCGTAGGGCAGAATAGTAGACAATCGATATCATGTTCCAAGGTAGCGAAACCCCGAACATTAAATACTCCATCCTTCCCTTCCCTTCCCCCTTCTCGTACCATGCTCCGCCTTGCCTTAGTCTACCTTACGTTACCATACCGGTACCGCCCCACAACCCATCACTTCCCCCCCCCCCCCCCCCCACTAGAACAAAGCATCAAGACATCCATTCGCGATACGATACGATATGATATGATACGATGGTATGGCGACTTTCCCGCTATCCCTTGAACCATAAAGCTCGAACCTATAGTACCAAGGCAGACTACCCTATGGAACGCTTGTCTGTAGGGTAGGTAGGGTAGGGTAGTGTATGGTAGTCCACCGGAGTTTGTCTTCGTTCGTTGCGGCGCGGGCGCATGGCTGTGCCCACGACGACTATCATAGGATGGGTTCGTATACCGTATGTATCATACATATGTTACACACATGACGCGTAAAGTAGGATACCGGTACGAGGTTGTCCCAGTTGGGAGTGTAAACCCAGTAAACGGTACTCGTAGAGTACAGTACAGTACTCACTGTGTGGAAGAGGGGGGGAAGGGGGGTTTCATTTTTTCATTCAGCAATGTAAGGCATTCTCTTTCATTCATTCTTTCTTCCTAATAGGATTTGTTGTATCATGTGTAGATAGGACACCGGTAGAACTATAACCGGTATCATACTACAGTCCACCCGCCGCAGCATTCTATCATAGCAAAGCACAAGCATCAAGTTAAATCATCATACAGTAATCACTGATAAACTCGGTCCACCGACATCCCTAACTAACTAACTAACTAACTAACCGGTGCGTGTATGTATATGTATGTGTGGAGTCACGCATCAATTCGCACATACTCTACTCTACTCTAGTCCAATTGTGAAGATGGCGAGCGTGCAAGTAGGGACGATTACGAAATATCTAATTAGATTAACTTATGAAGTTGTCAAGGTGGTATCATAGGTAGTAAGCCCCCCCCACTACCAAAAACCTTTTCCTGTTATAATGGTATCGATAATCGCCTGCCTGCCTATAATTTACTCGCGTACCAACCCTACTCGCTCACTCGCTCACTCACTCACTCGTAGCACCCAGTCTTATATATGAAATCGCAACCACGTAGCGTGCAGGATGAGTGAGATGAAAACTCGTCATGAATGGGGCCATTATCGGCCCACCGGGAATCTGCCTATCTTTATCAACGGATTGGGACACGAAATGTCGCAAAGTCTTCATGGCTTAGTTGGTTAAAGCGTCGGTCTCATATTTGTTGGAATATGATCAACTCTCAGAGTTGGGAAATCCGAAGGTCGCGAGTTCGACTCTCGCTGAGGACATTTTTTTTCCTTCTCTTCTCTCCTCTTGTTATCAGGGTTTCGGGGATATATATATATATTCGAAGGGCGTATAGAGAGGGGTGGGTTTGGTGTGGTGGGTGACGATTGGGCACGGATCCCGTGATGGAGGTTTTGGGCAATGGCGTGCGTGCAGTCTTGGGTGGGCGGAGCTCAACTTCCAACAATGGTATCGTGAAATTTCATGCATGCCTCATTGCCGCCAACAAGTTTTTCAAAGCGATTGTTCGGCTTAACCACCGTTCCAAGGAACGCACGTTGGTGCTCGATGCGACTACGACCGCTATTTCCAAGCCCAACCTCCGTAAAGTATTAAAGTAAAAAATTATCCACTACCGTACACCGAAAGTAAACTCCAATAAAAAGAGCAAACAGTGAGTATCAATCGCCCCCCCAGTCCCCCTACAAGACCGATTAAACGGAAAGACAAATGGTATAAAAGGAAAGATGTACAAGAAATGTAAAAAAAGAGAGGTAAATCAGCCGGGAATCATACAATTCGCATCAACTCACACCCCTCCTCCAACAGTTCCGCCGTAAATGGCCAGTAAACACCCAGGGAAATGTCAAGAAATAAGAAAAGGAAAACCATGAAACCGCCCGTGACGTCTAATATGCCCAAGATTCCTAACCCAAGCAGTTTTCTCTTTTTCTTTCTTCTCTTCTTTTTGCTTCTTTTTATCTATGCCCCCTATATTCGTCATAATTGTCATAATGTGGCTGCTGTTGGTATTGCTCCGGGTAGTCCGGATTATAGCTCAGGTGTGATGAACCTGGCCTATTTACGCCGTGTGAACCGTGGTCACCGAGCAAGTGCCTAACCGACTCTGTTTCGCTCCTAGTATCATGGTGGCCGTAGTCTGTTATTGCCTCCGGGCTTGCGAGGCCTCTGTCGCTCATATACGGGCTCTCCGGGCGGTGACCATGTCGGAAGCCAGGTGATGGCGGACCGTGCTGGGCAGATGGAACGGGGACGTAGTCTGTTCCACGGTAACCGCCTCCTAATGGAAGAGGGCTTGGGCCCCGCCGTGGCCCAAGGACTGACGGAGAACCTGGCCTTGATGAAGCCGGAGAACCAAATCCACGAGGTGTAATGTATCCACGATCGCTGAGACCGTCTGACCCAACCCCATATATTGATCCTCCATGGTCCTCCGCGAACTCGGCCCTATGCTTAAAGTGCTGAAAGTCCATATCCGCTTCCTCAACTATTTCGAATCGACCATCAAAGGGATCCTGTCTTCTACCGGTGTCTCCTCGTTGCATGTTATCCAGGCTAATCCCACCAGCACCCTGAGAGGGCTCAGAGTTTATTCTGCCAGAGTATATTTGTGCCAACACATGCCTAGCTTTAGCGTCGACCATAGGGGTGATCAGGCGGCGGGTCAAAGCCGGATGGCCGTATCGTTTGTTGAAATGATCTTTCCGAATCCCCTTTCCAACACCGAAAAGGCTCTCCCTATCAGAGCCTTTGGTGTGATATCGAATCTTGCCATCAAATTTATTGCGGCAATAGAGCTTGAATCCAACCAGGATAAAGAGCAGCGGAATAACACACATTGCAGCTTGATAGGTGTGCCGTACCCAGACAACAAGGGCGACAACGACATTGAAGAGACCGGTTGCGAACAAAAAACGGTTGAAAAGTAACTACAGCTCGTCAGTACTACGCCCATACCCAAGGGCGGATGTGGTTATTACCCTCCAGAATGCGCCCCCACTCTCGACCTTCGTGACAAAGATATACATGAGCAGGTACTTCTTCAAGAAGCTATCGATGAGAAAGTATAAGAAGGCAACAGGCAACACAAGAGGCTGAATAGTGGAGAACACCAGCGCAATCGTCGCATAGAACAAGAACTACACCGTAAAAGTCAGCTAACCTACCGCGAAAATGGAAAGGATGGTCCTACATAATTGTAATAAGTGGCGTAATCGAACGGTGGTGGAGCGGTCCATTCTATCTTCTCTCTCGGCGTAGGTGACATAAAGTGTCTCTGGAAACTTTTCCCAATCAAACTGACTATCTGGACCAAGTCGAGCAAAGCTCCTAGATTCCTCTGAAGTAGGTATGTGATCCAGAAAGTAGAAACTTCAAAAATCGCAAGAGCAATTCTAGTAGCTAGCCCAAGGTTTTGGATCGTATCCCATGTAACCTGCGTTTTCTGTGATGTCTCAACCAAGCCTCGAATAGTAGTCCACATCGTCTGAAATACTGGGTGAGCCCATGACCCTCCACATGATCCATGTGAGGGGCAACACTTACCCCGAACAATGCAAAGACGACCAAGTTGTTCAACACAAAGAAGATATACAACTTGTGAGTGACATGACGCTCGCGGGACGATTTCGTAAGGTCACTAAAAACTAGTCAGGTTACATCCCATAGCCCAAAAACAAACCAGTACTCACCCTTGCCATTGAGAAATACGCCTCATAACGATAGGCAGAACAAGGTAGACAATTGAAGTGATTGTCGGTGCGGCAAAACCCTGTCTACAACAACCCCAACCCCGTCAGCTCACATCCACAATGCGAAGACAGAATGGGTGGCATACACAACGGCAAAGAACCGACTATTCCGAACCAGAAGTTCACCAAACTTGGGAAACAGCGCTGCAATGTTATGTAAATTTGACAGGAAAACAGCGATGAGCGCGTTGGGAACCACATAAAGAACGGACAATCCAATAAACAGCACATTTCCTATAAAACCGTTCCAACGTCTCTTCGATTTCGAGCGACTGGTTCGGGTCAGCAAGGTTTTGAATCGCAGCGTTCGGGTGAGCACATACGTCAGATTGTCCCAAATGATATCGTTTGATCGTGGGGCCAGCATGATCAAAGTTCCCTTAGGATGCTTTCCCCTAGCCGCCTTCGCAACAACATGCGCACGAGAAATGCTCGGATAGGACACAAAACCGTACCGAAGAGCGTCTCGACTATCAATAGTTTCGCGGACACTCCTGATCTTATCCTCCAATTCCTTGATACGGCCACCATAATACTCGATAGCATCAACCTTGACGTCATGACGCATAGATTTGTCTTTTTTCGAGGGCTTACACATAGGCCGTGTCGCAGGAAGGTGATCAGGGTTCTTCAAGTATTTTGCCAGGTAACTCTCCAGCTGCTTAACAGCGGTTGCATGCTCCTCAATAAGCTCCGGGAGGTCCTTGACATTTCTACCAATCATTGGCCTTCCGTCCCCGTCATCAGGAATGCTTAATCCCCCAAGTACTTTGTCAATTCCGCCATCAGAGCGATACGATTTCGGGATATCCGTGACCTAAAACAAATCAGCTTTCTGAAACAAGTCACGTGATGGGTGGAGATCCAGCAACGGTACCATCAATGTCTTGGAATGTGTGGAAGCCTGGTACTCATCGCTCTCAAGGTAGTTCTGCCGCAGCTTTAGGATGGCCTTGTAATTCCTCCACAAAAAGTACATTATGATGAAATCAAATAGCCAAGCAACGCAAACATGGGCCCACATGCACTCCCCCCACGCATAATATGGACTCATGAGAATGAACCACCGGGTCGAACTAGCATACGGCCCGGACCAACTATTCTTGAGGTTGCAGGTAACGTTCACCGGAATCATCACCAAGCATCCGATAAGCCCCAAGTAAAAGAATATCGTCCGACACATTCTCAAGAACCGGAGAAAAACAATGGCGTCAAGTCCTATCTTGTCCACCAAATCCGGCTCGTGACACTTGATAAGTGGTTGAAACCAGGAAAACCATCCCCTTGAAATCTGCGGAGGTGCACGTTTGTCGTCCACGTGACGCAGCTTCGGAGCGTATACCACGGTATTGTAGGGTCGAATCAAACACCAACCCAATAGGATACCCGCAGAGATCCCCAGTGAAGTGCCCAGAGATGCGAGGAAAGCTTCGGTTGTAAAGGACTGCCTAAAGGGTGACTGGACGAGATCCAAGAACTTTCCGAGTGTATCATCATTCTGTCGCTTTTCCAGGCGCTCCAGACCACCAAGGAGACAGGAGTCCATAACTCAGTAATTCAGCAACGGCCCTCAACCGACGTCGTGGGATCAAGGGTATTGGTTGCGATATATGGCAAAGAACGAACGACGGAACCTCAACGGGAGAAGCCAGGGGAGGGTGTTCCGATCTCTGGTGAACGGGATAAGTCGACTATTATTAACGAGCGTAAAGAGGCTAGATCCTTGCCGTTCTCCTCCTCCTCCTCCTTCTCCTCCTTTGTATGGTGGTGGTGTTATGTGACCCCCGGGAAAAATGAACGACGACGAATAATATTGTTCCCCCAGACAACAAAGGTGAAAGGGTGTTGTCCCGGTCTACTTTCCTCCTCCTCCCACTCTCCTCCTCGCTCAATGTAAATGCAGAGTTGCGTAGGTCGTGTGACGTTTCCAGATCCGCCTCGTTCTGCAAAGATGGGAAGAAAAAGGCAGGGAAAACGCTTTCCTAGGCCCCGGAAGCAGGTGGACCAGGAAACAGCTTGTCAACAGCAACTGCGGCGAGAAGGAATGGATGAACGAAGGACAGCAAGACAAAGGCCGCAAACCGAGTTCGCAAGCCGACAATTGTATATTGAAAGCCTTTTCCCCTTTTTGCTCGTGTAATACAAGAAAAATAAGGTTTCGCAAAGAGAAAGGAAGGGAAGAAGGCGAAAAGGAAAAGGAAAAAGGGTGAACAAGAGAAGGAGAACCCTTTTGTCACTCGGTCAGCAGCCAGCAGCAAGAGGGCACGAACAAGAACAGGCAATTCCTCCACCAAGGTTTCCGGGGAGGGTTCCAAGAACCGTGGATAGCGGACCCTCTCCTGCCTTTTCAATTCGGGGACAAAGTCGGTCCTCTCTTGGCAGCCTGCAGCTCTCCGCCGCGTCTTCACCCAACATTTTTCGCGGGCAAAATTCTTCTCAATCATCCTGGCTCCGCTATTTTTGGAAAGAAGCAAAGAAAAATGGAAAGAGCGGGATAAACAGGCAGAGGCTCGAGCGAGCGAGCGAGTGAGCCCCCCCTCCCTTCGGACTCTTCGCCTTCACCCTCACCATTCCCCCTTGCCCGCTGTATGGTGGGAAGGAAGGTCTGGGCCGGAGCGGATGTGGCATCAGGGGATAAAGATGGAAAAAGCAAGAAGCGTGGAGGGAAACCGTTACTCGAGTAGTCAATCACATCAAATTCTTTTTCTTTCTGCACTTCTACCCAATGGGGACGAAAGATCTACTAATTTCCTACATTCAAGATCGTACAGGGAGGGACCAACGGGTAATATCTTTCAGCTCGTAAAGCCCCGAATCTTATCTCCGCCACCGTTGAAACCATCATTATCAATATCACTTTGCGCCGCACAAGTGCTAATCCTGAAAGCTCCTTCCGAGGCTTTCAAGTCTAACGTTAGCCTCGGACTACCGGTACCGTATCTAACTAACTACCTGCATGCCTTCTACTCCACCGGTATTGTACGTACGGACATGAGCACCGTACAGTACTGTACTAGTACTGTACTCGAGTACTGTACCTAAGGACATCAAAGAAACATATAAAAATAAAATAAAACAAAATAAATAAATATTCCTTATTTTTCCAAATACAGCAACATCACAACAAATAAGCACAGGAACGAACAGCACACACACACACACATTCATCATGTGGAGGATCCATCATCCATCCAAGCAACGCCTCATCATCCCCCCTTCAGGAGGATCACACACCGTACATATATCGCCACGCCAAAAGGGAATGATCCCCATTACCATACGGTATGGTATAGTCGAGCCATATTTATAAACATGACTTGCTGGCAACAAGTGTACGCTAGTCCCGTAGCAGGAATATCGGTATCATGCGGTACCCACATTGCAGATCCGTGTGAGTTCCGGCCTTTGACAGGTACTGTATGGCAGGCTACCTCTTCGAGAACGAGTGGAAGCGCAGTATTCCGCCACACCCGCCGGCATAGCACTCTGCAGTGCCCGAGTAGGGTACTCGTACTTGTATCACACATATAGGGAACCACACACCTCCCCCCACCGCAGAGAGAATTCCACATCGCTCAATATGAGTACGATACCACGGTCCCACCATATCCAACTCATACCATACCGGTATCCAAAGCTAGATTACACAGAAACCCCCGACTACCCAAGTAGTACCGGTGCTGTGCAGCAGAGTACTCGCACACACCCTACCGTGCAATAGCACACTGGCCAAATCTTGGGCACACAAATTTTCCCACCTACCCGTACTGTACTTCGAGTACAAGCACCCGCCCGTGATATGTGCGGAAGAGAATCACATATGGCATCGTGACGATACCACATAAAAGCAGACACCACCCATACCGTATACCTACCCGGTATCATACCATAACCCACGTATTAACCCCTTCCTCCAGCCAGCCAGCCAGTCAGTCAGTCAGCTGTCAGTCAGTCAGCACTCTCCTAGGCATGCGCTATGCATCATCCTACCTGTATGATATTATGCCTCAACAGAACAAGTTACCAATCAATCAACCACGAGCGCCTCCCGAACACCCACGGACCCCACTCTTACCACCGTGACCGAGCACTATACTAGTACAATACAGTATCATATCATACGCACCAGGAGCCCTAACCTACCATATATACAACTACGATCACTCACTCCCCAAGAGCAAGCGATAAACCACCACCACCACAATGCACACCACCCGTGACTCAACTCGGGAAAGCAAACATATCACAAGCAGCATATATATATATATATATACACAAAAACCCCACGATCGCTACTACCAGTATCACACCCCCAGCATCCCACGATAAGTTTAATCCAATGTCAAGGGTCATCACGGAATACTGTACTGTATGTGCTATACCATACCGCTAAATTACGGTATCCGGATCATGAATGACACATTATAACACATATTGTATCGTAGATAGATAGATAGATAGATAGCAATCCGTGCATGACCTTTGTTATAATAAAACCACCCCACGCACCGCACGACAGATCGCACAGTAACCGATCGGTCACGCACCCTCATCATCATCACCATCATCACGCTCAAAGAACCCGGGCCACTAACCTACCCACCGTACGCTGACCCGCGGCCGTCCGGGATTCTTACCGGTGCAGTGCGGTGCAAGCACCGTGGCGGCCCGATCGGTGGGGTGGAGAGGGCTATGATCCATACTATTATACGATACAAGATGAATCGGAACACGATATATCACTCGGTAAATGGTAGATGTTTGGGGTTTTGGAAAAGCTGCCATCTGGCGTACAGTACAGTAGGTTTCCCGCTCGAAATTTTGAAGGTCTGGGCGAGCGAGCGTAGGGGGCGGGTGCCCCGAGCGGCACAGTACTTCGACGTCACTGGAGTTGGAGCCCATATAACCATTGCGAGTATTGATTGATTGATTGATTGATTGATTGACCGGTCGCATTCAAAAGCTGTATTCGTACAGGGAATAGCTGCCGTAATCAGAGCAATCAAACAAACCAACTACCAACCAAACATGGCAAAAGAACTTGGTGGAAGATTGGGGAAATGAGACAGCCAGAAAGGTATGATATCATCCAAGTCATGATACCGGCACCGTACGGCAAACAGCGACCCCTCCGTCTGTTTCGCCTTTCGTCTTTTTTTTTTTTTTTCCTCAGCTTCTCCTTCCTCTGTCCAATTCATTTCATTTCCATTTCCATTCCCTTGGTTTGACTGATAGAAAGTGCCCGCCCCACCGCCCCGAACCTTCGCCGTAAAGCAGAAACTAGCCAGGAAAAATACACCCACTATACCGGTATAAGAGAAAGAAATAAAAACCCCAAGAAATGAAAAAAAGACGAAACCCCTACGGAAAAGATGTGAGCCCTAAGGATACAGTCGAAGAAAAAATGAAGCATTATCAGGAAAGACTATTTGCTAATTTTTTTTCACAAGTAAAAAAAAAAATCATTGGCCCAAATGCCCCCTCCCCCTTTGCTCCCTTTGTCCCCAGTTCCCCCAACACCTTTTTTCTTTTTGTTGACCCGGCGGTGATGATGATAAAATATCAATCAAAGGAAACAAAAAAACAATAACACAACAGCAACCCATTTCTTTTTCTTTTTAAGCACTAAGCAAAAAAAAAAACCCCCCGGAAAACCCAAACCCACCCCGCATAAATTTGCCAACTCAAGAAAACCGATAAAGTGACTTGGACAAAAAAACCAGAAAATACCGTCCGTACTGAACAAGGAAAGGAAATCCGAAGGGAGAGGGGGAAAAAAGGGAAAAACAATTGCCAGGAGAAAGGAAAAAAAATCAACAAGAATGATGGCAAATTATGGTATGCCATTGAGTTAAAGTAGACGGAGGGGAGTGAAAGATATGGCATTGCGAGGATCATGCCAACGCGTCGAAATAGAGCGAGGAAAACAAATGTTGAGAAAGAAATTCGCCAAACATCCATCCTAATATCTCGCATTCCCCCAAACACAATACCGTATCACCATTTAATGTCCATAGCCTCCCCAGCCACCTCCACCGTGCCTACCACCACTCGTCTGTCCATACTGGGGATAGCCACCGCTATACATGGAATATTGGTTGGTGCCGCTCTGACCTTGACCAGCACCGTACTGACTCTGGGCCTGATGTCCGTGAAGCCCATGGTTCAAGTGAGAGCCGTACATGCTGGCGGGGGTTTGCCCACCATGTTGAGGGCCCAGATTACTTGTAGCGGATCCAGGTCTCCCAGGCTGTCCGGGAATTGAGGGTGTTCCGGAAGGTCCGGTTGGTGGCTTATTTTCACCAAATTTCAGCGACTCATCAGTTGGGCCCTGTTGTCCAGCTTGCTGTTGGCCAACTCCTGCCCCTAATTGTTGCTGTTCCTGAGGGAGCCCGCGGCTGCTCAAGAAGTTTGGAACACCGCTTCCGTAGCCCCCAGCAGAAGTATGTTGGGGTAACGCCTGCTGCTGTTGCTGCTGCTGTTGAGCAGCGGTAGTGTTCATCCGGTTATAATCGCCGAGACCAGCAACACCATCACGGCCCTGCGCAGAAGGTGCTCCAAACCCACCGAGACCCGTAGGCGTTGAAGCATGATCTGAATACTGAGGAGACATGTAAGCTTGGGGATAAGCATACATGCCCTGGTGATTCTTGAACTGTTGGCCATAATAGCTCTAAATTCTCAAGTCAGCTACCACCACTGCAATAGAAGCGAGCGCCTGTGGCCATACCCCGGGGATAAATTGGCCGTAATAAGGATGTTGCTGGTATCCGTACTGGAACGCCTGTGTGGGATGTTGTCCAATAGGCTGGTGGGGCTGCGAGGTCTGTTGAACAGTAGGGATTGCTGGGCTCGGGGTAGCATGACCACTGCCTTGTTCCCCTGTTTGTGCCGGGTATCGCGAGGTCGACTGCTGTACCTGGCCAGCTGTACCAGCCGAAGTAGGAACTTGACCAAGGCCCTCTCCCGCGCCACCACCTAATCCACTTGAGGCGCGTTGTTGGTTAGCACCAGCATCTTGCTGAGATTGGGCCTGTTGCATGTAATTGGAGGTATAGGGAGCCCCAAACCCAGGGGGTTGTGACCGGTCATTGTAATAGTTGTACTGTTGCTGTTGGTCAGGAGCTGCTGAAACACCAACGCCAATATGAGAGGGTTGTGGCTGCTGATGCTGTAGGGGTGAAGGTGCATAGTTTCCGTATGCTTGAGGCTGGGCCTGAGGCTGGTGAGGGGGGATTGATTGCTGTTGAGCTGAGTGTGCAAAAGTATCGAATGACTTGGTCTGAGTTTGAGTTTCGGGAACCGCGTATCGATTGTAGTGACTGGGCAATTGGGAATTCAATTGATGTGGTTGCTGCTGGGTCATGCTTTGGGGAGCAGCCGGCGGCTGTGGGCTTGGTTGTTGTGGTGCAGCCTGAGGGTGAACAGGCAAGCCTGGTGCCTGTCTAGGAGTAGGCAAGGTTTCAGTGACAGGGGGCTGTGGGATTGGCAACTGCGAAGGACCAGTCGGAGGAAGCGATGTTACTGGCTGAGCAATGGGAGACGGCTGCGGAGGTTGTGATACTGTCTCGGCTTGCTCTACTTCCTCCTCATCATCAATATCACCATTTAATCCCATACTCCCAAATTGAAGAGTAGCATGCTCAACGGCACCATGATTACCAGGCATAACAACGCCCTCTTGCTGATCAAGTATTCTCCGATTGTAGCCCGAGCTGCGACCTGGCGTTCCTTTAGGCATTACTACCCCGCTGTGTACAGGTCGACTCGGAGCAGGCTGAGGTGTTGTGACAGCATGCTGTGGTGGTGGTGGTGGTGGTGGTGGTGGTGGTGCAGATAAGCTAACGGGGGCCGCAGGCGTAGGGGCAGACGACGCAATAGTGCTAGCTTGTGTCATAGTGGGTGGGGGTGGAGCGGTGTCCTCGATCCTCTCGAGATTTACCTCTGTTAGAGGCTGGACTGGTGATGGCTTAGCTTCTGGGATTTCTGGAGCAGCCTCCTCTTCTGGTCCCGGGACGGGCTCAGGCTCGACAGGCTCGGGGGTGGGTTCGACCGGTTCCGGTGTCGCTGGTGCAGGCTGTACCTCTGGCGATGCTTCCTTAGGGGGTGGTAAACTCTCTTCAACGGGTTCTGGTTCTTGATATTCTGGTACTGAGGGCTGAGCAGGCTCAGGTTGAACGGCGGGCTGCTTGGGAGGAGAGGGAATTTTCTGTACGGAAGCCGGCGGTGGAGGTGGTGGTTTACTGAATAGTTTGCTAGCCCATGATGTTGCTGGGGCAGGTTTGGGTACCGGCAGCGTTGCTTGATCGGGATTCGACTTAGAGGCTTCTGAATGAATATCGGGGGCGTAAAAGTTCTCAGAAGCTCCATTGGCTTCTGTTTCCTTATTCGCTTCTTCTGGCCAGGCAGAAAAGGCGTAATCGGCAGCTTTCTTGTCATCTAGGCTCGTTGCTTTAGTATTTGCGTAACCGCCACAGCCTTCGGCTGAGGTTGGAGCTTCTTCTGCGCGATCACTGGATTTACGTGACCTACCACGACTGCGGCCTCCACGGCTCGCACGAAATTCAGATCCACCACGGCTTCCACGGGGGCCGCGTCCACTTTCATGAGAAGCTCTGCCGCCTCCACGAGGACGAGAGCTGGGCGGGTACGGGTCGATGTTGGCTCCGACGGAAGACGGCTCTTTGACCTTGGACCGGGAGCGATCCTTCGACTTCTTCTCAACTTTGCCCCACTGAGTGGTCGTGCCTGGATAGGTACGGGGCGGTTTAGCTTAAACTTTGCACCGTAACACAGACACAGCACACATGAAAGGATTGGCACAAGAGGGCTAGCTTTTCCAAGGAACAAGAATGAAAATCTAACATAGGGAAGAGCACAGACCTTCACTAATCTTCTCCGCAGTGACTTGAACGTCACCCCCATTTTCGTCAAGAGCAGTAACGAGATCATCCGGGGTCCAATCAGAAAACAACTCCTGCAACTGCGACAACTCGTCGACGTACGGTCTCTTTAGCTGACCGATTTCGCCCTGATCATCGAAAGTATCGTAGGAAGCATTGCTGCCCCCATTTGCGTGTGAGGCACGGGCAGGCCTAGCAGAGAATCCACCGCGACCGCCTCGAGAAGAGCCTCTACCCCGAGGGGCGGGAGGACGTGTTTGCACTTCAGACATATGTGCGGTTTGAAATTGAAAGGGAATATGGAGATTGAAAGATGGAGAGAGGATAAGGAAGATCCCAACAAGCCCCAGAAAAATTGTTCTCAAGAACGGGGGGGGCTGGAGCGAATTGGGGAGAAATGGATCAAGCGAGAAACGAACCCGGGAAGGGCTTGGTTTGATGTGTGTGTGTGTGTATGTGTGTGCGAGGCAAGACAAGAAGACCCGTGGAGAACAAAAAAGTAACCGCAGCACAGGAAAGGAAAATATGGGGGACGGGAGCGGAGGGGGAAGGGGGGAGGGAGGAAGCTCGGAGGGAAGGGCAGGCGTGGTTTGGGTTTCTTTAGATCTGGCGATGGGTTGGCTCGATTTCTTAGGGTGTAAATTTGACCGGGGGGGACTGGGAAGGCAAAGAGGACCTTCGTTTCTTTTGCGTGAAATGGGAAGGGTCGCCTCTGGCTCGAGTTGTACTAGTATCATACCGCTGGGGCTACAGTATACACTTACGGTACCCTCGGGCTCCTTCCCTGTATTACGTAACCCTCAGTTCGCTCTACGGGTACAGCATCACCTTTCGCGGCCCAGCTCCCAGCTATCAAGGTAAATCTTGGCCGTAAATCGCCACTCTCTGCCCATTCTCTCTTTCCCCACCAGATTCCGAATGGCAAGGAAATCATGGCCGGCACTCCAGATGGCGATGTACCGTAGTTTACCTATCAACCGTCTGCCTGTTGATAATCGGGTGCTGGTGTGATACGGTGATTTATGTTCCTGATGTTGACCCACCGTAAGTTAGCTCTTTGTTCCCCGAACCGTACGAGTACAGTCACGGGTTCAATTTGCTAGTTTCCCCCCTACATCTGATCACATCGAATCACCCTCTCCTCGAGAGCCCGGCCTGTCACCCTCCTGTGATGAGGCACAGTACCGGTAGCCCCAGGAGCCCGGACTACAGCAAGGGAAAATGGGCCTGAAGATTCGATCCACCAAGTGTCGGGCAAGGATTCTTCTGCACATTGTGCGCGGCGTTTCGATTTGGGGCACGAGGTCAACGAGGTTCCTTCTGCTTTCTCCCAGGCTCCCACTCTTTTGAGGACACCAGTCACGTACTTGTAGTGTTGCCCCATTCGGAAGATTCGTTTAACCTGCTGATGGTAATATCACCATTATTCCCGTGCCAGTACGGAAAAGGGACTTTCCACTTGGACCCTAAAACACTCTCAAAGTGGGCTCGAAAATTTTCTCCAAATTCTCCTGAGTATCACATCAGCTCTACAGCAGCGGAGTTCCCTATTTCCCGAAACGTCCTGCGGTATCTCTAAGTTTTTTTTTTGGTTTTTTTTCCCATGATGTGTTTTTTTTTTTTTCCTTCTGCTGTGCGAGTTGGCAAGACTGAAAACCGAACACCGAACACCGAACACGTATCCTGCATCGAAATCCCCAAACTCACAGTTACCGTCCCTCAACAGTTCCAAAACGCATCCCCCCCCTCAGTTATATGAGATAACCAGAGGAAGAGCCAAAGATGAGAGCGTAAGATCTTCTTTCCCGGAATATCGCCACCTCCGTTGAGAAAAATTATTTATTTCCGGAAGGGAGATCGACAAAGAGGTTCTTCCAGGTGGAATTTAATCACACAAATACAAGAGCTCGAGGAGCTCGGCCAGTCGGCAGGCATAGGTTAGCTGCCCCCCCGAACGTCCCCGGCATTTAGCCTTCTGCAGTCCTAGCTGAAACCATCAGATAGCACCCTTGGTGATACGGAACTTCCTGGGCAAGTTCCCCGGACGGGCGGTTGCCACTCTGCAAGCGCAGTAAGAAACTTGAAAAAAAAGCTTCTTTTATTCAATGAAAGCGAGCGTGAGCTATGAAAGGGCTTCTTTCGGGCCAGGAACAGCCTAGCGGTAACGGAGTATGCGCCCTTCAAACAGCAGAATACTCTTCCATTGAGCAGGAGGGTTAGGGTTCGCAAAATATGCGGTATGATATGATGTGTGTGAAATGATGGAAACTTTGCTTAGCAACAAACTCTCTTTCTGCCAGGCTTCCAGCGACCTACGGGCCTATGGTGCTCATATAGAGAGACTCGATTCCTTAATCATTTACTCTTGGAGCAGCACAGAAACAAAATGATTCTCTTCTTTCCCTTTACTCCTTCCGCTAAACTTGCACTACGCTCCAACCCTACAGTTGGATTGCGAAGCGCAGCGACCAAGCCATGGCTCGATGCATTTCACATGCTCCTTGCACTCACCACAAGTCGCAATTTAGACTATCCCATTCCGACTCCACAGGAACTCGTGTCCTATCATACCCTAAACCCTCAGCCCTACCGTAACCCCCAACATCTTGCGTCACACCCATCGCAATACCTAGTGCTCGAGTGCGAGTAGGGCACCGGTACTTGGAGACTATCGGTAATAAAGGAGAAAAAGGAAAAAGCACTGAAACCAATTCCTCCGCTTCCGAGTTTTCAGACACACACACGCTCGCGTACGATCGGCGTGCGCGCGGGCGGACGCCGGATCGATCATGGATCGGGTAAAGGTACAGAAGGTACCAACTTTTGGTAACCGTGCAATCGATTTGATAAATCAGAGGTTGTCTACTAATATACCCACCAACCGCACCTGCCAGCCGCAACATGGTATAGAAAAGAAAAAAAGTGTTGTTTCGGTGGGGGGCTGGGGATTGGGAATTGGGATTGCTCGGGATAGGTGGATGAATAAGGGTCGGCTAGCTCGCGGGGGGCAGCCGGGGGGGGCGTTGGCGATTTGCGGGGTGGCATAAGTTTTTTTTTACCTTCCCCGGCCCAGAGCCAAATTCGGGTCACTGCAAAACTTGATCACCTTTCATGGGCGATGAAGGAGGACACCTAGAGCGCGGCACTGTAGGGTTGGCCATGTTAATACTATGATTTGATAGGATAGGTGCGGCCGCAGCTTGGTTTCTGGAGAGTTCTTTCGTGGGTGATTGATCCATGCACATGATGGCCCGCAAAAACGCTACGGCATCGTTAAGGGCCCCATTATAGTCGGATCCACCATGCTCCGGGCCAAACCTCGGACCAACCGTACCAGACCTGAGGGGTTTGATACTATACAGTATCTAATTATCATAATATGGGAGATGCATGATGGCTCGATGTATTTGAGAAGCGATGGGAATGCGCAGGCAACCGTCGAGCCCGATACTTCCCAACTCACAAAACCCGCATAGCCAAAGACAAGGAGGGCAGGGGAGATTGGGAAGGTTGTCATAATACTGTACTGCGCCCCATATACCATACCTGTACTCGTACAGTGCAGTGCAGTGCCGCACTCATATCATGGAGTATCGAATATTTGGACCATGGAGCTTTCTGACCTGAAGAAGCCCTCACTTCAAGCATGGTGCCGACGCCTTGGAACCCGCCTACGGTACTGTACTGGCAAAGTCTCCCCGCAGCCCCTCCGTCAAACCAAGAACACTAGTCCTAATATAGTGGTGGCCCGGTCCCCGGTCCCAATCAGGAAGTCACTTCTTGGTCGATTACTCAGCAACCTTTTTTTTATGCATATTAATTTTTTTTACCCCTCGTTCCCGTTCCCCCATTCGTGTCTCACTACGAATAACCCCCTCCCCATGCAACCTTGAAGACCTGCGGAAAACTTCCCAGTATCATAAATATATTCCGACAGCCAATTGGGAAGACCATATCGTACAGGGAGGAATCTTAGAAAAAATCCTACCATATTTGTATCATACCATACCGATAGGTTCTTAAGGTTGTCGGCATCTTGAGACCTGACCTCCGGTAGGGAATTATGATACATTTCCCTCTTTTACTCTTTTTTTTGGTTTGGAGATGATGCCCCCCCCCTTCCCTCCTCCTCCTCCTCCTCTCCTCCTCCGCCTGTGCGGTACTCGTACGGTACGGTTTTCTTTTTTTGCTCGCAACGCGCCAGGTCCAAATTCGCATTTATCATGAAAGTTATCCTCCTCCTCCTCGACGGTTTGGCAGGATGAGGGCAGACTATGGAGAAGTAACGAATGCAACCCGCCCCCGTTAACTTCTGCTTTTCCTGTTGGAAATATCATACTTTGCGAATATCATACCATGATACAGCGTATATAATACCGGTGCTGTATTATCTCCTGTATAATATGGTACGATCGTTCGTATGATACAGGCGAGGCCTTCTCCGCACCCTTTTGGGGTCTTGCCCTCTCTCTCTATTTCCTTATTTATTTCTTTATTACTCTACTTTTTCTTTTCTTTTCCTTTCCTCTGCCGGGCAATTGGTTTGATGCACCATTGGAGGGCAAGAAAAAAAAAAAGTTAGGTTTTTTTTTTCCCCTCATGATATTTTCTTATTTTTTGCCCTTCTTCTTTCCTTTTATCATACCCCAAGAATGAATCTCCTGGCTTTTTTCCCTCCGCACATATGATACTATACCCCCCCTCCCCCTCCTTCAGCCATCCGCAGGTAATGTACTCGTAGGTAGGTGGGTAGGTAGGAACCCATAGGTTAGGTAGTTGCCTTACCGTACTCGTACCTCTCACTCCCTCTCCCTCACTCACCCACCAACCAACCAACCCACCCACCCACATTCCCATTGATTTGTCGGCGCGCTTTTGTAGGAGGTAATTACGGTACTGTACGAGTGTGAACTTACCGGTACGGGGTATCATAGACTTTTTTTTTTTCTTTCAAAATAAAAGCAAGTATATATCAAAAAGTCACCGAAATGGAAAAAAAAAAATCAAAAAAAATCAAGTGCTCCTAAGAATGGCTGAAAATTATGACTGTCGGTATTGGATAATTTTTCTTCCCCCCCGCCCGTTATTTTTCGACTATTCCTGCTTAGCCCAGTACCTTACCTCGCCTTACCGTCCTTTTAACCTTTGCTGGGGGGAGGTGGTGTACGAGTAGAATAGTAGGGAGATGGATGGATGGCGGGCGTGGATGGATGAAGGGAGGGATGGAGTGATGGAGTGATGGAGTGATGGAGTGATGGGTGGATGGATGGATGGAGAGGCTGCAAGCAAGCAGGCGAGCAGGAAGCAGGCAAGCAGGCAAGCCGTGATCAATGATGAGCGCTCATCTTCCCTTCACACACACCCCAGCATTGTTGTTGGCGTGTCTGGTTCCGTCATTGCTTATTAGTCTTTACCTGGTGTCGTATTTCTTCCTCTCTCTCTCTCTCTCTTTCTCTCGCTCTCTCGGAGGCAATCATTTAAAAGCATCCCCTCCTCCAGTTCCCACCCCCTTCCAATCTCGTTCCCCCATTTTTTATTATTTTCTTGTTACAAAAAAAATTACCGACCTCTTCTTCTACGGTACTCCAGTCTAGTCGTTGCTAGTGGAGCAATTCCCCACTGGTAGTACTTTCCGATCAAGCAAACCCATATTCGAGATCCTCGTATCTCCTCCATATCACACACCGTCACCACGTACCCTCCACAAAAGCACATCGGACAATGGCCGACAAGAACGTTAAGGAAAGCGATGAAGGTAGGTCTTCTATCCATCTCCTCCACCCGCCTGTCCCATCCACCGTTCCGCCCAACTCAAACTTCCTTGTGACCTTTTCCAAGAAAGCAAATTACCCAATACCTATCGACTAGGAAGTGGAAGCGGGGAGATGGTTGCTCGGGGAGCTTACAGGAGCACTACTCTCTCCCTATTTGCACAAGTCTAGTCTCACGGAGTTGGGGATCCGGACGCCCCGCGGGGGCTGTAGCCGAGACGGAGGATCATGGCTCCCTGGAAATAGCTTCGAAGGGCAAGGGGGTCCAAGAACGCTGACCCAAAGAATCCTGCAGTTCATTTAGCGCGCGACGGAAATGATGTCGCCAAGCGAGCGAGCGAGCCTACCAAGAAGTCGACCGACGCTACCAATGACTCGGCTACATCCTCGACCGCTGCTGCAACTGCGGAGCCGAATAACGCAAACGGGGAGGAAAAGAAGGAGGTCGAGATAGGTGAGAAGAGGGATCGTATGGAGGACGAGGAGAAACCCGCTGCACAGGAGTTAGCCGAAGCCGAGAAGGATGCGGGAAAGGAAACTAAGAAACCGAAGCTTGCCGAAGGCGCTGTCGATGGCGAGGGGGAGAATGGTGGGGCAAGCAATGGTAGGGATGATGCTGCTTCTCCACCAAAGAAGAGAGGTCCGGGTCGTCCGAAGAAGTCGGAGAAGGAAGCCAAGAAACGGGATGAAGCGGCAAAACCGGAGGCTAGCAGCGCAGAGACGATTTCTGGGAGAACCCGCTCGAAGGCTTCATAGATCAATCGTTGGCAATTCTCGGTCGTGGGACGTAAGTTTAGAAATTTGGTAATCTTTTTTTTTTTTTGACGAGATCTATTGTGGCTGACGTTTTTTTTGTTTATATTTTATTTGTAGCCGACCGGCAATTTGACTATTGCCGTAACAGATTCACCTTGTGGCTCGGTGATATGTACATGCTTCTGATGTGTTAGCTTGGGAGTAGTTCTTTTTCTGCCCACTTTCTTCTTGTTATGGGGCCTTTGGATATCTGTTTGTTTTTCCTCCCTCTACCCGGTCTCTGATTTTTACTTTTCAGACCCGGCGCTGAAAGGTCTGCGGATATGACTGTTGCAGAGCCTGTGTACGAGTACGTGTAACGAGACTGGAGGGACGGAAGGAGCAATGTTGATATCTCAAGATACGACCTTGTGCTGGTGTCCCATTGTACTCGTACAAGTGACCTTTCCAAAGCTCTATTACTGCGGGCCATCGCAAAGGGAAGAGTGGTAATAAAAAAAAAAAAGGAGGCCCTAATGCCAACAATCATCTCCCCAAAACTTGATATATATACCTCGGCCGAACGGAAAATGATGCTCCAATGCGCCTCGAGGTTGTAGTTTGGGGCCATGGGGGAGCCCTGGAGTCAGGTTTTGTTCACCGATTAAAGCATTTGGTACGCCAAACGATTCCAGGAGCCTGCCGGCGCTAAGGGAAAATGGGGGAGCAAGCAATCCCAGCCTTGTCCCCCGCTGCTGGCATTCAGCTGATCGTGTACCGTACAGTACCGTACCGGTAAGCGATCACTATCTACCGGCATTTCAAGTTGGAGTTGGTCAAACTTAGCCCCCATATATTCTTTCGATCTTCTTGTCAGCTTTGGTTTCTTGAACGTCAAACTTTAAGTTAGTCCAACTTTAGCTTCCATTGTGGGAATCAAAGTATGATACCATATTAATGCATCCTGCAATCTAGTAGTTGCCAGAAAGCGTTTCACTCATCTCATATGTACTGTACAGTACTGTGTCATACAAAAAATCATCTTGTTTTATTATAATAGATGCAAGAGATAAATCTTCTAGACCGCTTGGGTATAATAGCGTTCTCCATCCCATCGGAACCCCTACTCGTACTTTTCTGCTGGAAGAGGCCAGACAGACAGCCAATCGTAGGTATAATATACGGTATATATTTGTCGGAAGCAAATCTACCCTTTTTTTTCCCGATTATAAATTGGCAGTCTTCTCCATGCCCCTCAAAATCCCACAGAACTGTCTGTATATACCGTACCGTATTCGACGGTTGTAGAGTGTGGCGTTTAAGTTACGGTAGGTTAATTGGTTGCTAGTGGGTAACGAGGGGATGGGGAGATGGGATCCAGAGAGTGTGTGTGTGAAAGCTACAGTAGCTATACGACTATGATATATGATACGGGGTGTAATTTAGCCCCGGATTGTGGCGGAGTTGGTTGGTTGCTTGAGTATCATATTGTACTGAACTCTGTTTTTCTCGTGAGCGTGAGTTGAGTTGATGTGATAAGTTGGGTCTTCAATATCATACCATAGACAGTTGGAGGGATAAGTTAATGTAGGATTAATTAGGTGTTGCGGTACTGTACTCGTACTCGTACAGTATAATACTAGCACCCTACTTACAACTTGTACCCTGTTATAACGAACGCCAAGAGTTCAAGATCTTCCGTTCATTCGTCAACCCATATACTAGTAGTCAAGAGAGGGGGGGTCTCGAAACGAAATCACTTATATCCCATGACATCGAGAACCATTTATTTGTTTTGTATGGGAGTAGGGGGGGTATATTCCTATCGTTCATTCATTCATTCGCAATAGCGGTATATAAAGAGGTCCGTTATAATAAGTTAGTTGGCGGGGTGGAAAGACTTCAGTGCAACTGCAACTGCAGGTTTGTCGTTGTCAGTTCAAGCCAGATTTTCATCCGAGTTTCAATTCTCAACATCTGTCTAATTTGCCGGTATGATGGACCATTATATCTATATAGTACCGGTACACTGTTGTTGGATGGTCTTGGGACTTTTCTCCAGCCCGGGCGGAATAAGTTACTGACATAATATAATATGATGCCGCTGCTGGTTTATCGGAAAAAGGTATCATAACGTGATGCCTCAAACTGCTCACTACGATGTGATACTCATGATTGAATGAATGAATGTACTGTTATACCGCTAGAGTTTAGCCTTGTTTTTTTTTGGTTTTTTTTGCTCTTGATCATAGTATAATACCATGTCAATCAAGAGTCATCGTGTTTTGCAAAACATCGTTCGGTTTATGGTATGAGCATCGCACTGTAAGGTATTATACTCGAGAAATTGACAAACTTGTGATGCTCGAGTAGCTTGTGTGCACGCAGGGATAATAACGATGCGTACGGTACTCGAGCTTGCTCACTTCTGCCGGGAAGAAGCAAATGATTATTATTATACGGCTGTCGGTGTTGGGCCCCGTTCTGTGGAGTACTGTGCCCCTCTCATGCTTAGGAGACTGGACCGGGTGCAGTAGAGGGAAATGTACCAGCATACCGTGAGTGCTACTCTCCGGAATAGTATGCCGTCTAGGGGGCTTGCGTTTGGGCAATGCGTGATGAGGGAGAGGTTTGTCTGCGCAGCGAGTTTTTCGAGCTTTTACGCTGTCGTACTCGTAAGTGAATGGTTTTTGTAAACAAGACTACTATTGTACAGTGTCATATCTGTCTGCCAGCTGTGCACTAGGGTATGGCACGCTTGCGGCCACTAGAGGCAATGGTTGCTAGGATGCTGTTTCTCTCAGGAGGTTCAAAAAAAAAAGGTTGTCAAAGTTCTCTAAAGAGGCATCCAAGAAACCGCTTTCGGGCCCCCATTGTAAAACACCACTTGTAGATTTATGATAAGGGAGCGGTTGGTAGAGAGGGCACTTGAACATAATAGCCACGTTCAAACGTACATCCAATAGCAAACCATACCGCCAACACCATCCTCCATAGAGGCCCTTCAACTCGGAAACCCTGTGATATAACTGACTTTATACATGCATGTTCGTTAAAAAAAATACCGAATCAACAGAAATGAAGAGGAATGATTAGAAGGAGGGGGAGAGGGAGAGGAGGTGATAATACAGCCCATGACACCTCTTGTCTATTCCTCACAGTTTCGTTGGTAAAACAATAAATATACTTCCCTCTGCATCCCAAGCACATCCGAAGTCCTTGCCTCCTTCACCTTCTCGTCACTGATCCTCCACCACTTGTCATTCCCGTACTTCTTCTTTAGCCTTTTTGCTGCTGTCGTCGTTGAGGTCTTGATCGATGGTGGTGGTGGTGCGGAACCGGGCGCGGGAGCAGGAGAGGGTAGCCAGAAAGAGGAGGTAGGAATAGGAGGCACGGCAGAATCCGAATTGGTGAGCCTTGTAGGGCTTGAATCTCCGTTCGGATGGGTAGATATCGAAGAGGGAGGTGTGAATTTGCCATCTGAGGCTGAGGAGGATTCCGATGATGCCGAGGACGGCGACGGATATGAATCTGGCGACGGCAAGGGAATGCCTAAAGTCTGGGCTTCGGGAGGAGGAGCTAGATTTTCGCTCGCCGATTCCTTCGCGTCCACTGGTACCAACCTAACGGTTGGCCCGATTTTTGGGCTCGATGGGATCGGTGTGGGAGGTGAGGATGGGACAGGTGTGGGCGTCGAGTATGGAGCTCTATGCACAATCTGCCGTCTAAAGCATTCGTAATGCCCACTGTCATGGCTGCCCTTGTGGGTTATCATGCAGAGGAGTTTGTACCCCTTCCGGTCCAGGAGGCCGCCCATCTTTAGCTCCTCCGGGAAAGAAACCTTCGCGCTGTTTTTGCGGGAGGAGCAATGGACGTCGTAGATTGAGCGGGAGAGGTGGAAGGTTATGATGGTGGGGTAGCAGGACATGCGGGTGCGTCGGGCGATTCGAGATTTGGGGGCGAGGCGGGGGGGTGGGAGTTCGATGCCTTCGGGGGTCTTCTCGGGGTCTGTCTCAATGGCTTGTTGGAGTTTTGAAACTATAGAGGTTAACTCTTTCTTTACCGGGTCTGAAGATGCGGTTTCTAGTTTTCGGGAGTAGGTCTCAAGGGCATGCTGGAGCCGGCACCTGGCACATGTAAAGTCGTCTATGTACTCTGTGGATAGGACTCCATCTATGCAATCGGAGAGGGTGGTGCTGGTCTAAGGGGAAAGAATTAGCACGGCAGAGATAAATATGTGAAAGGGCTGGTGAGAAGATACCTTCTGAGGAACTGGCAGTGTGAGAGCCACAAAGGTAGAAACCGAAGGTTTTGGCTTGAAATGGCATATCAAGCATTCAATCTCAGATTCCAATTTCCCTTCCATTGGCATGCCGCCTTCTTCAGATCCCCTCTTGTCCTCTCTTTTGTCCAGATCCTCTACTTTAATTACCAGGCCATCCATCTCCTGGGGCTTCTCGGATCTCTCCTCTCCGTTGCCCTCCTCAAACTTCTCATCTGCGCTCCGTAGAAATTTCTCATTTTCTATGCGTAGCCTCATAGCCTCTTGACTCCTTTTCTTTTGCTGGTGGTGCTCCTCAGCCAGTGTTTCCACAACAACCTGCAAAAACTCATGAGCATCTTGTTGGCTTCGTGATATTCGCTGCTGAAAAACTCGTTCTAAGACATTCAAGAAAGGGCGCGCAGATATGGTCTTCTTGCGTATAGGCCGCTCATTGAGACCTAGGGATTGTGGTTAGTCCAGACGCCAATTGGCTCTATTGATTTCCTACGGGGCCTACCATCAAGTATATCTTTTAAGGCACCGGTGAGAAATGGCTTGCGATCAATTTTTAAGCCATCGCCGACTAATTCTCTATTAGCTTTTGCATTTCTTGTCTGCTGAACAAGATAAGCTCTTAGTTCCCCAAGCCCAGCTAACGCTTGTAATATCGAGTTTATCTGTTTCGCCTGATTAGCTGGGTGTTCCACAGAACAGGTTTTTTCGTAGTGCGTACGAAGCAATCATTGGCAGTGTTGACCAAACCAACCACTCCTTTTCGTCGCTGACTTGAAGAGTTATTGGAGGAATCAATGAGCCAAGTTGGGCCAAAGACATAGACCAGGGTGACTGCGGCCAAAGAGGCCCCGGCTGCGTATGCGAGAGTGAGTTGCTTATCACCCGGCGGAGGCATCATATTGATTGCTCTTTCACTTTTGGTGCTTTTGCGAAAATTTTCTGCCGTGACCTCCCGAGTCCAAAGGTGGCAGGATTTGGAGGGAAGAGAACCAAACGAATGGGACGGGTTTCATCACCGCTCCATGGAGTTCAGTCTGGGACTGGGCGTGATTGGGGATGGTAAGGGAACCCAAAGCTTTATTTATTTATCCCTTTTCCACTACCGGTATTGAACAATCTTTGTCCCGGAAGCGGGGACCTGGAGGGGTAAAGATCTGACAGGGCAGGTTTCGCGGGAAAAGGTAGGGGCCAGGGGCAGAAGTGAGGAAGATGAGGGGTTCAGGGGTGGACTCCGACGTAATGAAAATATCTACGGTATCCATCATTCAGGGCAAGAGAATATTAGCCTTTGTCAGCCACCTTTGTTTGGCCGGTTCGCCATTTGGGCAGGGAGTGGTAGTTATGGAGGAAGGCGGCACCAAATTGAATGTTTCGCCGGGAGTCTAAGATCCCATTCAAGATTATCTCGGATCTCACAATTGCACCGATGAGGCTCTGTGGGTACGAGAAATAACAAAATGCCAGTTCATGTATGGAAGTTTGTAGGGAATATTCTCCGGCGGATCTCCACCTGACCTGGAAATGTTACATGAGGGCATTTTCCAGTAAAAGGGGGCGGTTCATTTTGGGCTTGTGGAGCGGAAGTGTCCCTTGTGGAGCGCTCCACACATCATCTAAACCAGTTCTGAGCGCGAAATCAGCCCGCCCTCCCCACTTCCCACTTCCTCCCCCTCGCCCCACCCCGATGGGATTTTTTAGTATACCTTCGTGTCCAACATGCGTTCGCCGTTTAGCTGGAGGGGCACTTCAACAAATTCGGGGCAAGAAAAGAACCCGGAAGGTGCCCACCATTAAAGTCCAATTGACGAGGGATGTCCCGAGATTTGGAGAAAAGGGTGCGATCACTCGGTGGATAACCTGCGGCGTAAAAGGGAGTCAACTAACAGCTCGCAGGGACTGTCCTACAAATACCAAAAGGGAGAATGAGAGGTATGCCGGCGTTGGCTCCCTCCTGTAATTGAGCTTCTGCTAACGATTGTAGGGGATTGGTATACTTCGGTTCCCCGTTCGAATTCAATTCCTCATTCCACTCATAGCCTGTCGATGGCCGAGCCGGTCCGGGTTCTTTGGCTCATTATTTTCAATTGTATCCAGGTTTCCCAAGGGGATAGCGGACTATATTCCTAGACACATGCTGAAGAGAATGCCGGCTGGGGCCCTCAAGCACCGTGATCCCATGTTCATGAACGCTAAGGTTGAGAAGAAGAAGCCTAAGGTCGTGATCGAATTACTTACAGTGAGTTCATCCGTGTTAGGTCAATACTGGGCTGTGCTGATCTTGTTGCTGCTAGCCTACACAAACAATTGCACTTCTTGACTCATTTATTCCCCCGAACCTCATGTTCTCCCGCTCCACGATCGCCCCGAACGAGCCTGCTATTCACGGCTCAGTTACACTCACCGATATCGCAACCGCTGTAAGGAATATTGCTGCAGCGAACGGGAAAGAGGGATCACGAATCGTGGTCGGTCCCGAAAATATCAGGTTTGCAGGTAAGGACGTAGAGGGGGACAAGCTTAAGTCACTAGGAACGTTTGATTTCGAGATCAGCGTGAAGGGAGCGAACGACTTTGTAAGACGGAAGGTCATGGTTGTGGAGCAAGAGGAGGTATAGAAAGGAAGAAAAATAGATGGCCCCGTGGGGCGGCGATCAGGTCCATTGGGATCACCTTCACTTTTCTCTTCCCTACAAAACCCGGCCCGCCCTGCCCTCCGCCCCATGTCCCACATTGGGGAGACCAAAAACTATTTGATAAGTGTATGATATATGCACCCAAGATATCTTACACATTATTTGTACAAAAGCTGTGTCGTTGTCTCAGTTTGTTTTCTCAGAATTGGGGCTGTTGTACTCGTACTCGTACTGCACAGCGCAGCACAGTGCATGCTACACTGGTACTGTACCATACTCTTATAAGCATCAGGCAGCGGCATAGATCTCGCCCTGTATCAAGACGTGGGGGAGATGTTTTAGGAGGAAATTTTACGTTTATCAGGACGAGGGTAAGTCACATCGCATCGCCCTTCTCCTTCCCCCGCCGAGATACGGCACGCTCATCCCACCGGCCAGCTGAAGAAATAAGCCGGGGAAAAAATGGGATGAGACGGTTTACGTACATAACTACAGGCAAGGATTGATTATGTTCAAGAATTCGCTCTTGCCACCCTCTCTTGAGTGATTGAACTTATCCCGTAGTAATTCTAGCATTCAACACAAAACAAACCATGGCCCCACCACCATTCCTCGCGGGCAAGGTTCCAAGCCCTTCTACCCAGTTACAAAAGGAACAACATTTCCCCCACCAACATTTGTTTCCTCCCTCACCATCTTAATATCTCTCTCCACCGCTCCCTCTCTCCCTCTCCCTACCCGGCGAACATCCTTGGTCTTTACATTTTTCTCCCACCACCAGTTAAACTTAAGTCGGACTTATCCCCAGTAAGATTTGCTCTTCTCTGTTACTACATTTCTTTCCTTTCTTTTTCCTTCTTCCTCTTTTTTTTTTTACTCTGTGTACATGTGCTTCTCGGGCGGATATTATTCGTATCCTCCCTCCAACGGGGACCGAAAAGCATCCGAGAATTCGTGAGCAGGAAAGTCCACAAGTGCTTGTGCTAACATTGCTGTTCGACAATTTCTATTATATTATATTCAGTTCTAGTTCTATATCGAACAGTCAGTCAGTCAAAATGGGCGCCCTCGATGTCCTTTCCAGAAAGTCCGGCGTTATCGTCGGCAACGACGTTTTGAATGTGAGCCCCGAACCCCGCGCTCTGCCGCATCAATATTTTTCCGTTTCCGAAGAATGGTGGTTCGGCCTCAGCGATTAATCGTTACAAAATCCTGACGCTTTTTCCCCCCAAACAAACAGCTTTTTAAATACGCCAAGGAACAAAAGTTTGCTATTCCTGCTATTGTAAGTTCTACGGATTCATTACGCATTCTTGACAATTGTCCAACTAATAGCATTGCAGAATGTTACTTCTTCCTCAACGGTTGTTGCTGCTCTCGAAGCAGCTAGGGACGCAAAGTCTCCTTTGATTTTGCAAATGTCCCAGGGAGGTGCTGCCTATTTCGCTGGAAAGGTATTTTCTTCCTATAATTCTCCTCGCTCCCTACTAATGGCTCGGATGTAAAGGGTGTCTCGAATACCGACCAGTTCGCATCCATCACTGGCGCAATTTCTGGCGCCAATTATATCCGTTCGATTGCCCCTGCCTACGGTATTCCGGTCGTCCTTCACACCGACCACTGCGCCAAGAAGCTCTTGCCCTGGCTAGATGGAATGCTCGATTATGATGAGAAGTACTTTGCTGAGCACGGAGAGCCTCTCTTCTCCTCCCACATGATTGACTTGTCTGAGGAGGACAAGGAATCGAACATTGCTACTACCAAGAAGTACCTGCAGCGTGCTGCTCCCATGAAGCAGTGGCTCGAGATGGTATACTCCTCAACGCAATTAGGGCCCTGTTAAAGTGCTCACGCGTTTGTAGGAAATTGGTATCACCGGAGGTGAAGAGGACGGCGTTGACAATACGGGTGTCGACAACAGCGCCCTCTACACCCAACCCGAAGATATCTATGAGGTCTACGAAGCTCTTTCCTCCGTTTCTCCCTACTTTTCTATCGCCGCGGCTTTCGGAAATGTCCACGGTGTGTACAAGCCCGGAAACGTTAAATTGCACCCTGAGCTCCTCGGAAAACATCAAGCCTATGCCAAAGAGAAGATCAACTGCGAGGAGGACAAGCCCCTCTTCCTAGTCTTCCACGGAGGGTCTGGTAGCAGCAAGGAGGAGTTCACGACTGGCATCTCACATGGTGTCGTTAAGGTTAACTTGGACACTGATCTCCAGTAAGCTTTTCCCCAGATACCCCCTCCCCTCCCTCTTTCCATTTAGTAGATCTGTACTAAAAATTACTATCTAGATATGCCTATCTAACCGGTATTCGTGATTTTGTTCTCAACAAGAAGGACTTTATCATGTCTCAGGTTGGAAACCCCGAGGGTGAAGACAAGCCAAACAAGAAGTACTTTGAGTAAGCCATACATTTCTCTCATAAAAAGAGCACAGCTAATCACACTTGGATAGCCCCCGTGTCTGGGTCCGCGAGGGTGAAAAGACCATGAGCGCCCGTGTCAAGGAAGCTCTCTCCGATTTCAACACTGCCAACCAGTTGTAAGGAACATGTCGGCATTGAGGTCATCCTCAGACCAGAAATAGATAAAAACGAAGCTATGGCCCTCCTTGCAGTTGTTAGTTCCTTTTTCGCCAAATATTAGCAGAGGGTTTCTATAGCGATTAGGGGATCAATACAATATTGGGGTGACAATATCAATTGTTCTAATCTGGCGATTTCGGGGAGGGGTTCTTGTGATTTATGAGATGGTTACAGGGAAGTTCTTAACTCAAGCACTGTGGGCTGATCGTCTAAATTCTGGCTCTTTGAAAGCATAAATCTCCATTTGGTAAAATACAATGCTGCTACCAACTAACACACGAACCATCATCTTCTGACATCGGTGTGCTGGCCTCAACATCACAAACTATCACTCGATCCAATGGAAGGGAAAATCTGGATGCCGAGACAGTTTCTGCAGCTGTGAAACAAAAAGCAAGTAGAACGGGTGATCCGGGAACACCCGTGATCTAACCAGGCCTTCCGACCACAGGAACCCAGATCGTAATAAACTAAATCTTCCCCAAAAACCTGATAACCCTCCCGATCATGTCCGCCAGCACGCCAGCATCCACCCCTTCGAAATTATGGTTAGCCCCGTTAATAACCCCACTCTCAACCTTATCCACCACCGCACCACCCAGAGCGCAGGCCAAGTACCACCGCTTGAGCAGGTACTCCTTGTCCACCCACGCGGGCACGAGCTGGTCCATGGCGGAAAAGAGGAACAGGACGTTAGTGTTACGCATGATCATCCCGAACGTGCGCGTCAGCATCTCCTCGTTCAAGTCGCTGGAGAAGTAATCGTCAGCACCGGCGAAGGCGTTTAGGTCCCACCAGCGCTGGGCGCACACAGGGGTGTCGGTGTACGTCGGGGAGCGGAAGTGCGAGGGGATGATCTCGGCGCCACGAGCACTGTCGATTAGGGAGCGGGCGTGGGTTAGGCTCGCCGAGAGGCGGTCTGGGGATTGACCCAGGGTTGCGGATTCGCGGTCAGATACTGTAGCGAGGTCAGTGATGGGATCGGGGGATGGGAAAGGGAGGTATCCACCGCTGGCCTGGAATATAACACCATTTATGATGGCCGAGTGCTTGGTTAGGTATTCTAGTGCGTCCTGACAACCTACCCACTCATTAGCGTACTCCTGATAGTCCCCCATAGGGGGGGGGGGGTATACAGCCCACCAGTGGAATGCCCCATGAGTACTAACTTCCCGCCCCTAATTGTCCGAAAGTACTCCACGCAAGCCGATATCTCCACTGCGTCTCTAGATTTGTTAGAACCACCCCCGTCACCCTCCCATCCCATCCCACACTTTGGGGCAAACCTACTGAGCAATGGACCCAATTCCCCACCCGTTGTACGAGCTCGAAAGTAGCACCTCCACTAAACTCCAACCCGCCCCGGTAACCGCGTCGATCAACGGACTCACATAAGGAATTGTATGAATCCCATCCCCGAGCCCGCCGACGAGCAGCAGCGTATTCTTCATGTTGCCATTTATGGCTGCCGGGTGCTCGACCGCTATCAGGCGTGGGGACTGTAGTCGATGTCACACTCATCCGACCGATTAGCCAGGGCACAAAAGCTTTCTCTCTCTCTCTCTCCAACGGGGGGAGACCAAATACGTAGTGGTGCATAATCGTCGCTCGGGACGAAGGGTAGAAGATTTTCTGGTCCATCGTTAGTTGTCGATTGTATTTATCTATTCTCTGCTAATGTAGATTGAACTGATTGATGGGGATCGTGGCGTGTGTGCGTTGGGGGGTGGGGGTGGGGGTAGGAGGTTGGAGGGTTAAATAATGGTTACAAGTATTTTACGTAGATTGTGCGCTATGGTGGGGTATTATATTATAGTTGCCACGGGCGCGATGCCGGTACTCGTACCGTATCTCTCTCCATCCGAGTCTGATACCGGTAGACTACCGTACAGTAGAGTACGAGTATGATACCGGCACGGCATACTTAGGTGGATTGTCTGTCATTCTTATCATCCACCAATGGCGTCGGCAATCCCGAAGCTTTGTGATATTATAAGTTGCGTTATGATCGGACGTTGTAAAAAGTGCGCTCTTAAGTTAGGGGGGATCGTGGCGCAAATTTTTTTAATTCAAGGTATTTTGAGGAGTTATTATTAGATGGATAACTCTTAGATATTCAAGAGTAATATACTCGCATGTAATTCGTGATAATGTAATAGCTATTGTGTCACTGTAGGTTTAGCCGCACTGTTAGGGGTTTAAATGTATAATAGTAACTATCGCGAGTCTAGGGCTTTATCGGCACGGTATGATAATCTAACAACTAGGGGTGCTGTATGATGCCCCAATCCACTATGATGAAAGAGCGGAGGGGGCAGAGGATAGATAGATAGGTAGATACGGTAGTCTAACTGCTGACAGGACTGTGTAGATGCTGGACCTTGTATTGCACTGTAGGTACTGCACCTAGTACAGTACAGAGCAGTGAGATAGTAAATTTAGTATCACTACTTCTCTATACCTGAGCTTTTCTATTTTCTATTTATCCATTTAAAGGAATTGGTCCTCCAGATACCGAACCTAAGCCAACCACTCGCACAGGTCTTGACACCTTCCAAACCACGATACTCTCCACAAACATCCATGCTCAAGCCCCGCGGTATCATACGCACGTCCACGATGGGACAAAGAACAGTAGGCGAACATTCACCATGTATCACTCGATTTGACATTAGAGACCGGATGGAGTCACTGAGTTGTTCGGACGCCGATTCTTTCCTTCCTTCCTTCCTTCCTTGGCTTATGATATTCTCGAAGACTTACCGGGGCCAGCTAGAGCCCTCACGATGGATTGTGTATGATATGCGTAGGATATATCATAGGCAAATGCTCTAGAAGCGTCACACCTGCCTGAACGACCTCGAAGGGCGACAATATACCTCTTGTTTTGCACCCTGCGGAAAGTGAGAGCAGCCAAGTTACCGAAGAACCCTTTTTTTTTCTTCCCGTGTTTTCCGACGAGTCCGGTGGTCTCAGGTGAGCTTTCGTCCTCTTGATCGATATATCATATCATAGCCAAAGCCAGGGTAGATTCTGAACTCTGACTCTCAAGTGGGGGGGGGGGGGGTTATCATTTGGAAGATTTTTTACATCCTCTCCGGTATCGGACACCGTGAGTGTCACAAGTGCGGTAATATCGCGAGCTAGGATCAAGTTGGAATTCGTGCCTCTTTATGGCTATTCATGATGGGTACTGTGTATATAATAGCCTATCGTGGACAAGTTCAATGATTAGGGCGGTCTCGCTCTGTATGCTAATCAACCAGATCAACTTACTATACAGCATGTTGTTCCTGCTTGTAACCTACTGCACTCAACAGTGGAGTTATGTGGGTCCGATGTCAACGCACCGATTGCGAATCCGTTTATATCCCTATCTTCCCCAGTGACGTTAATATGAGCCCGGATTTAGGTAATGTCCGCGCATGGAAAGGATAGAACCAAGGCTCCCCAAAAACGTGCCGGAAGCGCGGCGGGATGCAGGATCGGATCTTGCTGCCGTTTCTCAGCGTAGAATAGGAGCATTCTGTTATGGCTTTATTTTCAATAGAGCACATACTTTCTTGATTGAGCTTCGCGGAATACTACCACGTGCACTATCCAGTACCGGTATCGTACAACATGGTATCCTGGTGGGGCGGGAGTAGCCACACAATATGCCCTAAGCTAGACGAGAAGACCGGCCCCAGATGGCCTCGAAGATTTCCATAATATCAATGGACAAATACCACCAGAGTAATTAAACATATACCAATATCCCTTCAAACTGCATTAACCGCCAAATATGAAGGATTAAGTGAAGATACTAGGGGGAATTGCATAATCATGTGCTTTTAATTGGGGTATCTATCCATCCGGGGCAGATACCTCCTTCTAGTTTGATTAACAAGTTCTGTATTATCCCCAACCCACCTATTGCCATAAAAAAAGAGGCCCTCGAATATGAAAACAAACCATTTCCTCTGAAGGAACAACTGATAGAACTCCACCCCCAAACTGTAAATTTGCACAAAAGCCCTCCGCACTGCCCAAGGATTCTCCCCTCATTTAACCCCTCTTCTCGGGAGGCCTCGTCCAATCCCAGATCCTCCTCTAGTTCCTCTTCCACCCCTAGTCCCCCTTCCCGTTCCAGTGCCAGTGGAAGAGGAAGAGGAAGTTGGAGCCCCGATCCTGGACCCACCGGAGCTCCCACCCCTACCAGTTCCCGACCCACCAGTTCTCCTCCCTCTAGTAGGCTTTCTCTCAGCTGCCGCCCTCCTAGCTTCAGCAGCCACAGCTTCTCTTTCCCTCGCAGCCGCACGCTCCCTCTCTTCCTCCCTCTTCCGTTCGGCTTCTTGAATTTTAGCTGCGGCTTCTGCCTCGATATCATTCAAGTCCTGTGTGGCACCCTCCCAATGTCCGGAGAGCAGTAATCGTTGTGTATGCTCCGTCTGGCTCAAAATACGAATCCATAAATCAAGGAGAGTATTCGCGGATGCAACTGTGGTAGAAACGGTCTAAACCAGCAAATTTCAACGGTTAACTACCCCAGCCCACAGAGATCGGGGACCCAAAGCTCACCTCCATATTCTCCTTTGCTTTCTCTAAAGACGATACCACTCCTTCGATGACGGAATTGACCTGCTGTACACCAGCTAATTCTGCACGGAGAGCTTCCTCGCGCGCGTCTTGCTCCACGGCAGCGGATCGGACGGGCCTTTCTTTCTCCCCATCGTCAATTTGCAGGTCTGAGAGAGGGAGAGGTGGCTCTTCGTTAGACATTATGGGGAGAGTGTCAGCGGTGGTGGGGGGCGAACCGAACTTTTTGCTGATGCGGAGAATCGAGCTCGGCCAAGGATTGAAATTTAACTCATGGTACATCAGCCACGGCAGGGGTTGCCCCACTACCAACCCCACTACCGGTGCTGATATGGGTCTTGCTCACTCCTCAACCAGAATATTTCGTAAATATCTACAATACCGGTAAGCCCCTAACAAACATACTTGAGTGGAGGGGGGGGGCTACCCCAGACGCCATCATTTTCCCAAATAACAACAGTAACTATCTAAAGGCATTGATGCTTCACTATAACTCCCTATCACCACGATCTCCATGGCAGAGGTCCTGCCCCCCCCTACCCCGCTCTCTCATTTCGAGTGTGCAGTGCAGTAGATTATCACATCACTACCCCTTCACGTGAATAACTGAAGTATTAACCCAGTGAGCCCAGTCTCAGCCAATGCCTATCTAGGGAAGTGCTTCACTGGTAGAACCGTGATGTACAGTCTGTATTAATGAACACTGGCGAACCCCTCCCCAGTAACGCGTTATTCACTGGCCGCTGATAGAGACCCACGGGTATACCGGTAGTACAGTTAATATGCTGCAAGGAGAGATGCTCCCCGTGCATTTCATGCAAAACTCTAACCCCCCTGACTTTTACCGGTCATTGATTATTCAGCCACCACGCCCGGCACGCGTATGCTTTGTGTCTAACCTTAAGCTTTCACGGAAAAAAGATGCATAAAACTACAGAAAAGGCGGAATAATATTGCGAATTCCGCTGCCCCAATTACCGAAGCAGAGCCGGATCGATAGTTAGTAAAAAAAAAAGTACACCGATAGTTTCCATTGACTACTTTGCGTTGAACCTCCAGTTTCTTGATCAGTTTGGCCCCTTTCGCCAATCAGAGTCGAGAGCGACGCGAACGCGAACGCGTAAAACTAATTTGTCACAGCATATCACTCGGTCCCCCAGGCTCCCCCTCTGTTTGTACAAGGTTTCTTTCTCCTCTCAAATGATTCTCCTAGATCTTCATTTTCTTTCAAGTCTGGTCCTACTTAGGACTAGCATATGTTGTCCCTTTTGTTGTTTCCGAATAGTTTCTTTAAGGTTCTTTATTTCTCTTGATTCTTTACTGCGAGTGTTGAGGGATTCAGGTGGTGATAGGAGGGCAGAAGCACCTCACCATATAGCTGAACCGCATTCTCCTTGTAGTTCGAATCGCATCGGTTTTCTCTAATTCAGAAACAATCTTAACTATTCTCTATTACTTCTCCGTCCGAAGCAATCGCATATTGCTACACCCTCAGTCTGACCCCGGGTTGAATCAACAGAATTGGCGTACGATGTCATACCCCTGACCGAAGACGGCGTTCAAGCGAACCTCTAAATCTACTGTACGGTACCGGTATACTCGAGTACCGTATCCCTGAACCGGTATCACCGCTGGCTGCAGCCAGCGAACATCTCAGATCTAAAGGAAAATTTCAAAATCTTGGGCAAACTCGTGCCGAACCCGGAAACGCGTTACCTGAAACACGCGAGGCGCTGTGGCTAGAGCAACGGCCGTTGCTGTGGCCTCAGAATGGGAGAGAGTCAACACCCTCTTTCTCCCAGCCTCTTGTTTTTCTCATCCCGCACATTCTCCGCTTTCCCCCCATACACCATTCTACCGAAAGAAAGAGGAAAAACACTTGCTCGTGCTCGCATCATTTTATCATTACACCGCATTGTTTCTTTGTTCTGCGTCAGACTGCTACGCTCTTTATTGAGTTTGTTTACTTTTTCTTTATTTTTCTTTGCTTTTAGGCACTGCCATTGCAATTCCGTGCCCCAGGTCAGGGGTTGCTGCTCTTCGCTCGTTCTCGACTTCATTCGGTTTCCAACCACAGGCCTCGCTCCGACAGCAATAACAAACAATTGCATTAATCTCACAACTCCATTCTCATCATGAACACTCCTCCAAGGCTTCGTTCTCGTGGACGGCCCAAGACTCCCCCTGCCCCTCGTCATGGTCCTAAGTTTTCCCCTGAACCTGAGCGTACCTGTAAGCGAAAGGGGGCCTCTTCAACATCGGGTTATTCTACTGCAACACTTTCCCCACCCCCTTCATCGCCCATAGCACCTCACTCGCCCGAGCAAACACGTATCGTTAAGGGCAAAAAGCGGACTACGTTTGCTGCCGAGGGGCCCGCGGGAGCATCGTCATCTGAGGTTGATAGTGATGGGGACAAGGAGGGAAAAGTGGGAGGAGGGGAGCAGGATAATGAAATTGAGAAGATTCTGGGAAAGGGTAGAAAGACCTTGTTGAATCCGGGAGGATTTGGATTGCCTACGCCTGCAAAGACCCCTTCCCGCAAGCGAAAACATCTGGATTTAGAAGAGATTGTTGGTTCAGCGAGGGTTCTGTTCCCTTCGTCGTCCAAGTCCAAGGATTCCTCTTCGACCCCACTGTCATGCGCTCGGAGAACACTCCTCAAAAAGTCTCCCCCCAGGCAGAGAAAAGGTGGAATGGGGTCATTGGATCTCTTGGGTGATGAACGACCTGCTTTAGACTCTATAAGCATATTCACAGACTCTAATGCTCGCATTCCGAAACATGATGATGATCCAGACAACCCGTTTATTACTAGGCCGGGAGAAGAGAGCGTCACCTCCAAAAGGCAGAGAATCAAAAATAAAAAGGCAAAGTCCTTGGGGGCAGATGAAGATAGAGAGGATGGCATGGTGTATGTTTTGTAAGGCTCGCCATCTACTGTATTACGCGCTTAACTCCCCACTAACTCACCTATAGTCGAGGAAAGAAGGTTTTCAAAAAATTCACCGAAATGGAAGACCCGAATGAGCGTCTTCCGGGTGGTTTGGATGATGGAGAAGATGATGAGATAAGTCTTGAACGATCTGCTATCAAGCCACGCCTACTGTTTCCACCGAAATCTCCCGAGGAGCCCGAGATTCCTGTTGAAGAGGAGGCAGAGACGGATATTGAGGAGTCTACTTCTTCACAACCGGCTACCTCGTTCGCCGAAGCTCTTGCTACAATGGGAAAACAGGAGAAGCGTGATATCTCACGTCTGACACCCGACTCTGAGGACGACAGCGGACGTAGCAATATCTTCAATCCGGGGGGCAAGACTGTGTCAAAGCGAAAGTCCATCTTCGATGCTGGTGAGGATGGAGATGAACCACTCATTGCACCGGTCAAGAAGAGCATGCGGAGAAAGCGGGGTCTGGAGGACGAATCCGCTACGCTTGAGAGCCCAAGGAGAGTCAGAATAAAGAGAGCACGGGTCTAATTCCCAATGTCCTTTCCGTGTATTAATAGGTGGAAAAATTCCCTTGTATCGTTGTCATCATCAGCATTTCGTTCGATTGTCTCCATTTATCACATTGTTTTCATGACTTGATGTATTTTTTCCCCCATGAGCATTCTTTAGCACGGGCCACGATTTCGGTAAGGATAGAAGGATGTCAAGGTTAACTTCGCATACCACCAACTTTTCCTTCTTCTTTTCCTTTTCTCCCCTTCACTTATTTTTCTCCGCTAGCATCTCTATGTCCTTGATTGTTTCACCCGTCAAGCCGGTTCTTTTATACCACCCCTTTTTTTATTCCTTCTCTAATCGTGCCTGTGGCTTTTGTGCCTTCCCCTATCTTGTGTTTGCAAATCGAGGAAACGAAGTGAGCACGAGCTTACCTCTTATTTTTTTATTTTTTATTTTTATTCCGTTTTGGGAAGGGATCAATGGCAAAATGGGGTTGTTTTCTCCTAGGGGGGTTTTTTTTTATCAAAGGCGAAATACCTGGGCAATGGTCATCGATATCCTGTTTGTATATCTGATATTTGTATCTCCCGCCTCGCGGATGGGTTGGACGGTTGCTATGGATCAGGGTTTTTCTGGAAAGGGGAGCTCAGAGTTAAACAATTTAATAACACTTTGGTAGCTGTTGTGCAAGATAGTTTATTGTGAGTGAGTTAGTTAAGGGCCGTGATTTTTTGCACTGCGCTCCCGTACCATACTCTCAAATATTCGTTGAATATCGTTGATAAAATTCTGCCATAAAGTAGTATTATTATGAGTGAAATGGGATAAAATATATTTTTGTTGGATCCGTGATGATCTGTTGTGAACCACGAGATGGTGTTTTACTCGGGAGCGAACCGTTGCATGAAGCTATCGATGTCTGCAGGGAGATCATGTAGGAATCGGGTCGATCCATTGGAGACTTGGGAGTGAAGAAGCTTTCGGTGCCTCTCTCTCGACCTGACTGCGGCTCACCAATTTCCAGACATGGGCGTTAAGCCAAGCTTCCGGACAGCCCCTTTGATTACGAATTCGTTGCCTGGGGACGCGATTGCTGCTTCAGAAGTGAGTCCCTGATAACTATCTCGAGAATCACCCCCCTCCATCTCCCCAGGCAAAGCTGTATGTAGCGAGGGGCTGAAGTCTGCCCTCACATCCCTCGAACCTCTTTCCATTCCTTCAGAGCTACAGCCCTCACTCGCCTTTACGAAGTTTATCGCTCCCACCTGGTTCAGCGGATTCACTTCTACCAGTACAGCCGTTAACACTGCCACTGCCATAATCTTCCCCCTTCCCCCCTTTCGGACTTACCTACCTACTTACTATAACATACGACAGTTGCTCGCTTTACCCGTTGAATGGGTTGCCTGTGACAGCACCTAACTTCAGCCCTTCATTCCTTCAGCAACAAGGGAGAAACTCTCTGAACCTCACTTCACTCTCTAAGGCGGCCTAAAAGGTCATACCGCTTGCATGAGCGACGAAAAACGCTCTATGCTTGGGAGCTCCCTTCCAATCCCAACTTACGAAGAGGCGACATCCTCCCGAGCCCCTAGCGATGTCGGCGACAATCCGCATACCGAGGAGGAGGCCTCACGCCTCTTGGCCTCTTCGCACGGCCGGTATCGGCAACCGACGGTCGAGACTGCGAGGAGTTCTCTCGAGAGTTCGTTTCTGGAGGAGTTTGGAGATTCCGCGCGGCCAAGTAGGGAGAGTCTTGAGCGAGTGATGGTGGAGATGGAGATTCTGGAACCTGGGCAGGGGGGGGAGGGTCAACAAAGGCGTGGGGGAGGAGGGAGACTTCGGATGCATATATCGAAACGCATATCCTCAATAACAGACTCGCTCTCCGCTATTTCAATACCTCACCACTGGAAGATCAACCCCCTTCGATGGTTCTCTTGTATTCGAATACCGGATTTGCCATGTCTCGGCGAAGGCTTCGTTCCGTTGTATAGAGTTATGGGCGTTATTATCGGCCTGGTCGTGGTTTATGCGTTGCTTGCATCGGATTCAGTTACCTTGAATCCGCCACCAGGGGCTGGTGGAACGATCGAGTTCGACATAGACGCCCTTAAGGACTTTATAAGAGATTCGATTGATAAGGATAATATCGAACATTACCTGGAATACCTGAGCCGTTTCGACCATACTGCGGGAACCGAGGGGGATTTTGTGCTGGCCAAGTATGTTGAAGGGGAGTTCAGGAGCTTTGGGCTTGAAAGTGTGGGACTCGACGAGTAAGTTATTCTGCTGTTATATTTTGGGTTGGCATTAGAAAATTCTAACAGATTTCCCCTTTTTAAAAATAAATTTACAGATATAGTGTTTACCTTAATTTCCCTAAGCCTAACGGGAGAAAGCTTGCAATCATCGACCCACCGTGGGAAGCTGCACTTGAAGAGCCAAAGGCGAATGACGATCGTGAAAACACACTTGTCTTCCATGGCTATTCCAAGACCGGTAGCGCTACAGGTCCCTTGATTTACGCCAATTACGGAGCCCGTGCTGATTTCGACAAACTCGAGTCGCAAGGGTTCAATCTGACGGGCTCAATCATCTTGGTTAGATATGGTGGGACACAGATGGATAGGGCTCTCAAGGTAAAAGCTGCCGAGGAACGAGGTGCGGCAGCCGTGATTGAATTCTCTGATCCGAAGACTGAGGGGTGGGACCTGCCTGAGGGCTTTGTGCAGAGGGGTTCTGTGAGCTTGATGAGCTTCATAGTGGGGGATGTATTGACGCCGGGTGCACCGAGCAAACCGGATTATAATAGGATTCCGCTGGAGCACAATCCTGGGCTTGTCGGGATCCCTTCATTACCTTTGGTAAGCCCTGTCATTTGGTGCGTTGGGCGATCTCGCTGACCCCTGTCACTCGCTCTACAGTCTTGGGATAATGCGAGGCATCTTCTGCAATCGCTGAGGGGCAAAGGGTCCAAGGTTGAGGAATCATGGACGGGAGACACACGAGGTGTCGAAGAATGGTGGACCGGCTCAATCAATGATTCGCCCATTATGGTCGAACTGGAAAATGATCAAGTCGAAGAGGAACGGCATCCCATCTGGAATGTTCTTGGATACATCCGGGGCTCTGACGATTACACAAAGCGTATTGTGGTCGGAAATCATAGGGATGCGTGGTGCTTTGGTGCCAGTGATCCTAATTCGGGGACTGCAGTGATGCTGGAGGTTGCTAGATTGTTTGGAAAGGTGTTGGAAATGGGCTGGAGACCCCAAAGGAGCATAATATTTGCTAATTGGGATGCCGAAGAATATAATCTGATTGGGTCAACGTGGGTCACTGTCCATGGATTGTGGTCTCTACATCTGCTGACGAGTATCTTATAGTGAATATGTGGAAGATAATATTGATGACCTTCGCCTGCACGGCATGGCATATATCAACCTCGATGTTGCAGTATCTGGTAAAGAGTTCCGCGCTGCTGGATCGCCTCTCATCCAACAACCGCTCCTCAATGTCCTCGAAAGAATACGGAGCCCCTCAGGAAACGGCACGCTGCGAGGTGACTGGGGTGACAAATTTCTCCCTGGCTTAGGTGCGGGAAGCGATTATGTTGCTTTCCAGGACTATGCAGGAGTCTCTTCGATAGATATCGGTTTCGCTGGTGACCCATTTCCATATCATAGTTGCTACGACACTTTTGAGTGGATGAAGAATACAGGGGATCCGGGGTTCAATCATCACCTCGCCATCGCCCAAGTTCTAGGCGTCTTAATTATAGAACTAGCTGATACTCCCGTTTTGCCATTTAATATGATTGACTACGCGCACGCGCTTGGGCGATATACGGACGATCTGGAAGAGCACGCCAAGGAGATCATGCAGGCGCAATCGCCTGGCACTAAACTATTGGATTTTAAGGATCTGAGGAATGCTGTTGAGTCTGCTGAGAAGAGACTGAAGGAATTTGATGAAAAACATGAAAATTGGATGGATTACCTTGAGGCAGGGCTAGATACGAATGGAATAATTGCTCGGCAGAGCCGAAACGCCCGAATGAGCAATTTTGAAGAGCATCTACTGGATCTATCCAAGGGAGGTGGATTACCTGGGAGAGAGTGGTTCAAGCATGTTGTTTTTGCACCTGAGGTAAGTTCATTCCCTACCATCTTAGAGGTCTGGTGGCTGATTGGTATACAGGCATGGAGCGGATATGACGCGGGATACTTCCCTGGTGTCAGGGATGCATTGGCCAGCAAAGACTGGGAGCTAGCTCAAAAGCAAGTGGAAAAGATTGCAAAGGTCATCGACAAGGCATCCTACAAACTCCTTAATTAGGAGCTTGTATAAAAAGGTTCGGAACATGAACGGTTTCCTTCTCTTGTATCTCCTTTGCATGAAATGCGCTTGGTGTGGTTTCCTTTTTTTTGTTTTGTTTTGAGAGCATTAGCGGGAGTATGTATATTGTGCCATCTTTTACAACTTCTTTCCCCTTTTTTTTTCGGTCCCCACAACTTTATTTTCCTCGTTATATTCACACTTTTCAGCGGATTAGTGCCTGGGCTTTCTCTTTCCTTCCTCGTTCTCATCGTATTTTGAATTGTATAGTTGGCCTCCTTTGCTCTGGAGCTGTATCCATGGGTATGGTGCTTGGGATTGAGGGGCGTTAAGATGTACTTTTGAGTGCCCTCAAAGGTCTTCGTTCTCGGTTTTTTTTTTTTTTTTGGTTGCGGCGTGGCAGGTTGTACATAATTGGATTATCGGATTGATAATGGGTGGGGGTTTTTAGAGAGATCATCATAATAAGTTTGGTATTTTATGTGCTGAGGGTTTACTCTCCAGCAACGATGGGGTGGGGCTTAACTTCACGGGGAAGTGTGCGGCTTGAAAGAGGCATTACAGAGACGAGGGACGTATTCCGGGAGCGTAGAGAAAAGGAAAAAGTAATTGCATAGTTTCACCCCCGAACAGCTTGACCAGGATATGAAGCGGAAATCCATTGAAGACCCAAGGGGAGTCTTCCAGCCCACAGCAGATACCAGTATCTGCTGAACGAGGAACAGAGAAACCAATCCCTCCTACTCCTCCTTTTCCGCCTTCTCCGCCTCCTTAGCCTCCTCGCTCCCCTCCTCAACCAACCTCCCAACCAGCAAGTACTTGCCCTCAAAGTGCTCAGCCCACCCGCTCAGCGTGGCACGCTCCTCCTCTTTCAGATCCTCCAGCGGGTCGATGGGCGCGCCGACCTCGGTGAGCACCTCCTCGTCGAAGCTATTGAGTGCCAGGCCCCTCGACGCATCGCGCCCCGCAAAGTTGCTGTAGGGCCCACCGGGCCCGTAGAAGCCCTTACCGGCGGTGACATCGAAGACCTTGCGGTTGACGGCGAGGTACACTCTAGCGTTGTCGGTGCCATTGAATGGCTGCAGTGTTTTCGGGGTGAATGTTTTAAAGACTCTGGCTCCGTTGGAGGAAGACTGGAGGGGCGGCGCTTGAGGGGGGTTCGGACGGAGGCGTGTGTAGATGAGGTAGAGTGCTAAGGTTAGGAGGAGGAGGTTTACCGGTGTAAAGATTGAGATTCTGGGGGATGAGTTTGTTAGTTTTTAAGGGTCTTTTCACTGTGATCTCGGGGCGTGTGTGTGTGGGGACGAACGCTTGAGTTTCTTCGGGGGGTGGTTGGTGTGGCATTTGGTTCTTTTTTTTTTCTTCTTTTCTTTCTGAAGGTCGTTGGGGATTTTTTGTTTGAGGGTTTGTTCTTTTTTTTGGTGGTGGTGGTGGTGGTGATTTGTGGTTGTTTGTTGGTAAGTTAAGTTGGGTGGGATGGTTCGAAGTTGACAGCTAGTCTATCAGGCCAGCCTGATAATATGATAGTCTATCATAACTATGATGACATTTGCCGTAAGCTTCTTGGATTTAATTTACATACCGTATCATGTAATACTATTTCGGAGCCTGGTTGGAGTCCCTGTTTCCTCCTCTCCCTGGCCCGGAGTAAATCGATGATCCTTGCCGTTTCCATTACAACCGAGGCATCGATCATGGGGGATAGGCCCTTACCCTACCCTACCCTCCTCCCTCCCTCCTTCTCGTACAGTACCACAACCTGTCGCGCTTCTCTTAAGTTATCATGTCATCCCCATCATAAGAACCATCAGTGATATTTTATGATGGAGGTTCGGAAGCTGGCGACCTGGATCAGGCCAAGCATATCATGACCCGTAGAGCGATCAGATAGATGTCCACGCCATTGATATTGTTGTGTGTTGTTTCTGGTGTTGCGTATGTAAGTTACGGGCATCAACCCTGATAGTATCGTGAAGATGGAGGACCGTTTGTGGACCTAAGGGTCAGAGGAGATTGTGTTCTCTCTCCTGTATTTAGACAGCTCACTCACACCTGGGAGAAACAACGAAGTTCCATCCACCTCATCACCATATCCGTCCAACAGATATAAGAAAAAGCAAGAGAGAGAGTAGTATAAGCGGGGTGAGTAGAAATCTATGCTTTATTATACTTTCCTAGAGCAGCTCATACACACGCGTGTGAATGTGATGTGAGTTATTCACGGGCTATCTGCCACTATTAATAATGATACCGGTACGGTACGTAGAGGCCGTGAGTACATGTTCCAACAGATTGCATAGGGATCGACTTTTCTCGCCTGCTTTTTATCGTCTTGAGCTGTTATGGTGATCACTTTCTCCGGTGGCTTACGTACTAGTACAGGTAGGTATTATATACCGTAACATGGTGGATGGATCTCGCAGATTTGTTGGTGATGATAGTTCCCGCTGGGGTGGTGGTGGCTGTATTTATCTGCTTATGATACCCCGTTTGAAATATACATGTACGCTATATATATTGGTGAATTGATTCATAAACGATGAGTGTAATACCCTTACAGCGGCCCGAACCACACCGTATCGACGCGAAGGGTCAATAGCTATAGGTAGGAAGTTCCTCTGGGCGTTTTTTTTCCCCTCCGCAGAGTTTCGGAGGGAATTCATTACGGAGGGGGAGGGGGAGGAAGGAAGGCAGAGTCACCCGCCATGATACGATGATGTCTCGGCATGCGATGTCATGAAAATTTAATTGAAGTTATGGGGAAGGAAAAGCGATAGATAGAGCCTTAACAATCCCCATTTATCCGGATCACATAATGATACCAAGTTCGAAGGGAAAACCGAAAAGCGAAATCCGTAAATGTCGCCTTGAACACGAAGGAAAATCGACTGTGGATCGCTTGATAGAGTCACAAATTTGAGGAGGAGAGGTGAGTATGTCCACTTTAGGCTACCACCTCTACTGATATTGGCCCCGTACTGTATTGCACTGGCACGAGAGTGATGAGATGTCGGGCATTGAGCACCTTAGACAATCTGGAACAGAGCGCTAGTTAGGAAAGGTTTATTGGAGGTTTTGCACGCTATTATTACAATGACATCACAACTATTTGGAAGCTCATGACAGGAGTATATCCCCCCCCCCCCGCCCCCGCCCCTCGGAACCTCCGGGCACAATCAGACTAGTTTCTATGATGTACCCGAGTAAACATTCTGGAAGAGGGTAATAATGTTAATAATAGAAATGGAAAAACTTCAGCTACTGCACGCCTAACCCACTTTGGTAGAGATCCGGGAATGGCCAGCTGGGACAGTACTTGGACTGCTACTAGTACTACGTGACTTGGAAACTATACTGCAAAGTATCCTCTCGTTAATCATCCAAGTTGTATCCAAGTTGCGGTTAATTTACCATACAGGTATGAGGAATCCTGCATCATTGTATTACAGTATCATACTTGCCAAAATCAACCGGACTATTTCCGACCTTTATCTATGTACCAGCCATATAATCTGTAACTATGCTCAGGTTTTCCCCATGGTAATGGATGCCAGTAGTATCCATACTTTAAAAATACTACCGGTAGTAGAGCTTCTGCTCATAATTCTTTTTAGTACATAAATCGTGGATAAGTAAAGAAGCTATGGTTTTTACTATTTATTTTTTATTCATGAGGGATTTTTTCTTCTTTTGTTTGAATGGTTG